TAAACCAAAAATACTTTCAAACACTTCATTTCTTCTGTTATTGACTTATTGTGGAGTAAAGATTTCTAACTTATAGAGGTTTCCTTAACAAATTACTGAAAGAAACAATAGTAGTTTTATAATAAAAAAAAAAAATTTTAAAAAGGGAAAAAATAGTAGTGGTGAAAACCAATTATGTAAATTAAGAAAAAAAATACAACATACGTTTTTCGGATCTGTGCTTAAGAGGCAACGTCGCATTCGTTAGAAGTCTCGAGTTATTTTAATCAATAAAGTAGCTAAGTTTATAGGGTTTATATGGATTTTCATAACACGAAAAAGTCATATTAAAAAAGTTGAATTGACGAGTTTGGTGAGAAGTTGTGGGATCGTATACGAGTCGGTGACGTATTTAGACAAGCTGTAGTGTTTGTTGAAAAGGGCGATTAATGTGATTAAGAGTCTTGTTGGAAAGTTTGTTCGCAAAAGAGGCTAAATTAATTAAAATTAACATGTGTTTGTTAATATCACAAGTTCAATCTACATTTATTTTGCAGTATCAAAGAGTGTAAACAATTTGTTAAGCACGATGAAATGTTGTGAAGGGTATTTGACTATGAGAATGTTAATCACGATGAAATGTTCTGTATAGTACTAATTTATATCATTCATTAATTACCAAACTAGTAACATGAATTAGAAGACTTCAGACAACTCTCTGTTTGTGCCTCATATTTGTTCTAAAATTATTTTAACAAAAAAAAAACATTTCTTCTAATATTTGAGCTCTCTCACTGTTTAACTCAAATATTAGAAAAAGTATGTAATTTTCACTTGTGATTAACTTCTTCCATAATAAAATAATAAAAATGAGATTTGCTCTAGGATGTAGGTACAATAAAGATGACAGAGATGTGACAGGTCAATTATAAGACGCAAATAAAATTAGTTGGGTGATGGAATACATGATTTAGCATTATTGATTAGCTAGGATTGTGAAGCTAGTGAATCAAACCCAATTAATAGTAACTCTTTATCTTGTTAATTTTTTTTTTTCTTAAACCTGGAATCTAATCAGTCAGAGCCTCAAAGGTCACTGGATCAGTGATTGTCTAGTACATTCATTTTAGATAGGCTGTTCATAATAACTTTTTAAAAATCGCTATTTTTTATAAAAGAAAGCATAATATTTGATGAGAAACGTCGGTAGTATCATATTTCTTATGTTTTTTTTTTATTAGTTTAAAACAAAAAAATAAAATCTGATACATCATACACCTGTTTTTTTGTTATTACACTTTATAAATAGAAAAATGACGAAGTAAGCAAGCGATCAACAACCTCTATTATTCGTGGGAAGGGATATGCCCCCCAAACATGTGCTATATATTTATGAATTAATACTAAACAATCAAACTAAACTAGTCTTACTTTTATTAAATATTTCTTTGGAAAATATACTTAAAAACAAAATACTAACTTATAGTGAATTGAAGAGTTAGTTTAATTTGATATTAATGGGGTCGAGTTGCAGACGTACATGCAAAAAGGTGCCTCTAAATCGACCTGGAAAATCATGTCAGTTTGTCCTTCACTGCCTCTTTCAATTATGCAAAACTAATATTTGACAATGACATATCTTAGCTATGAAACAAATTCCACTAATGGCGTCACAGTTGAGAAGGAAAATATCATTATTCACGCAAATTTATATTATGGAGGAATAGCCTTTGATGCTGAGTTTCTAAGTCAGATGAAAAGCAATCCTACATAACAACATATACATTTATACATTTCTCTATACAAAACATATTGATCAAAAAGAAAAAAGAATTCATGCGCAATTTATCACATTTTTTTACCTGCAATACTCATTAAATATATACGCGATATTATTCCAATTACAAACAGATAGTTCATACACACTGGACTATATGTTTTTATTTTACCAGTAACTCTAATTAATATAGTATAATGTAAATATTAAATGTAATTTTCATATTTATGTCGTATACATTTCATGAGAGAGACTTACAGTATATGGATCGATTATAACTAAACCACATTACTTTTTATGGGCAAGAGATAATTAACGTCATAGATTAAGTGTGAGGAAAGGAGTGAAACACGTAGTCCAATGCAACAAATCTTATATCTTTGTGTTTTTTTCACTTCTTACAACTATACTGGAATTTGGAAACCCTAGTTGTTTCGGCTATTAAGTTTTACTATTGTTATAACAATATGCTCTTAACTAAAGTTGGTCTTGCGTTAATTCTTCACAATTATGTGAGTTGAACCATTTCTTACAGGAAATTATTGATGAAAACAAATATCACTAGTATTACTTTTTGCGAGGAAATTAGGAAAAATAGAAATGTGTACCAATGAGGCAATGATATTGTCCTGAAAGCACGTGACATATATTTCATGATCCTATAATTAACAAGTGATAAGATATAATTAAATAAAACGACACTTGAGAAATTCGTCAAATAAAATAGAAGAGGACCACGCACGTAACCATTTGCACGTCCCATTGATTTTTGTGATAGACTTGGTAAGTTATATTACTTATATTCACAAAATTATCTACGAAACTCACGACTTAAGATGGTAATAAACAGAAACTACACAGGGAAATTTACCCATCAGACAAGAAACCAACATCTAGACCAAAATGTCTTTTCTTTTTACTTGTTCACTTGCTCAATCCATAAATTTATTAATTAGAACTATTTTCTTCTAAAATTGATCAAATGTTTCACACTGTTCTCAATTTCTCATCTAGATGCATGACTTATATGTTTGGTCAAAATATCACAGCTTGCTGATGAGCATTAAATAGCGTCCAAGTATAGGATGGTTGTTCAATATTGTAAAGGCAAAAGAGAAAGAGTGCCAAAAGGTCAAGTCGATTTCACAAATAAATCTTGAAGTCTTTATCCCTCTCGATTATAAAATGATTAGAAAAAGAAAAAGAGAGAATAAAATGTAAATAAAGAGAAAGAGAAAGAGAGATAGGAACATAAGGGATGGTATGAAGTAGAAGGGGAATATTGTTGATTTGGGCCTTTTTTGGTCCAAAATTTTCAGAAATGGAATGAATACCCATACTTACTCATTTAGGTATTTTGGGCTTCGTCAAAAGACCGTTTTGCCCCTGCCTATTCTTCTCCTTCTTTCTTCTCGACACCGACTCTGCGGCTCTTCCGACCAAAATTTTCGATTCCGACCACAACCCTCCCTGTCTCAGTCAAATCCATCAACACCATATTCATGCTCCATCAACATCATATCTGTTACTTTCAACACCACACCTCTTTTGTTTCCGAACACACAAATCCGAAACACAAAACCTCCGCCGCTAACATCTTTTCCGATCCCATGAATTCAATCAATTGTGTTTTGAATAAAGAAGCTAAACCCTAGGGGATACTATCTAGTAAACCCAAGGGTTCAAATCGAAACATAAATCAAATCAAAACTACTTAATCTATTTTTAAATCTAAACAAAATTTGTCATTAGATCTCATCATCTCCTCATCCGTCACTGGATCTCATCATCATCACCACCATTTTGTTTACAGTGTCTTCATCTTCGTCTCATCTCTTGACCAACACCACCGGATTTTGATCGACACCATCATCTCTGACATTTTTCACAAAAACACACAAAACTGTGGGTAAGGGTAATGTAGACATTTCAAGTCAGGAGAAAATGCCTAAAACCAAAGACTTGGCAAATGTACCGGATGTCGTAAGTTTTGCTGGGAAAAGGCCCATTCCGGTAATTAAATCAAGTAGAAGTGAAGATGCATGCGATGGTGTGTCGGAAAGGCAAAGCACATGCTCCACAACTTGAGCTTCTCACTTGCGTCAGGGGTAAGTATCCTCTGTACCTTCTTACTTTTGCTTAATACTTACCACCTCACTTCTCAACCGTTTGATCTTTAATCTTCCATTATTTCTTCATTACCTTCTCTTTTTTTTTTTTTTTGTTCGTTTTCGTTTTCAATTCCCGTCTCATATATTTCATTTTACAAACTAAATATATAGTTTTCCTAGGAAAGTGATATTTATAATTAATTTCTTATCCGATTTTAATTAAATTTAATTGTCAGAAATTATTTTTTACGTTTATAGACAGCCGTGACAAACTGTCATAGTCTTAGTATTTTTCTTAGTTATTTATGTTGTTTTTTTCTGTAAACTTTTATAAGTTCTTAACTCCAAATCAATTGGTAATGAATGATGAACTAACATCTTATGATCTCATGTACATGTTGACCAAAAAAGTTCCCCCTAAATACATCGAATAATTTCTCTTTCTTTTTGTAAACTACCTGTATTCGTAATAATCATTTGGTTTACTGATTATACAAAGGTATAGTTCTTAGTTATCAAATTTAATTTCTTTTGTCATAATTAATCATATACGTACTATTCATTAGAAAAAATAAATTGACACATCAATTAATTTCATTAACCAAATGGTTGAGAGAAAAACAAAAGAGCTTCTTTTATGTTCCAAATAAATTTATGGCAGTGAGTGAGATTCTCAGCTTTAGGAGAATACTCAACGATATTTCGAAGCTGAAAATGCATACAAATGTAAATGATCTAATAACCATTTTATGAGAATTTAATCCTTTAGAAACCAATGAGAGGATTTGATCAATATAATTGCAAACCACATGAGTCATGACAAAGGATTGTTTGACTCACGCAACCCACATATTTATGGCTGCTTGATAATTAAGGTTTATCTGCTTTGACAGTCTATACCATCTTGTTAATTAATAACGTCATATATTATTTATTTAACTTTCAGTTTGTATTACCGAATATTGATAATCAATTTGTATACAACAACATAAATCATCTTTTCTCCGGAGGATTTCGAACTTAGATCCAGCAATGTTGAAATATAACATCTCTGTAACATTTCGAATTTGAATCCATCATTTTTTTTTGCTGTCATTATTAATATTCCAATAATTACATATCAAAATGCTTTTAACCTCCAATTTAAAGGGTTACGTCGAGGCGTTTTGTGTGGCTTACTTTTTTTAACACTATAACTATAGAACACTCGTGGGATCCAATGCTCTTTAGGACAAGATTTTATCAGACGAGAAAAAAGTAAAATCAATACGAAATGTTTTAATATATGGATGACTGCAACAACAATAACAAAAAAAATAATGATTGAAAGGAAATATCATCACGCAAAACCTTAAAAGTACTATCGGTATCGTGTCCTCCTCTCCTCATCAAATAGTTCCCACAGTTTTCACATCAATTTAACCATTTTCAATTTTTTTCACTCTCTGTCTCTCTCCTTCGTATAATACTATATTAGTACCATTACCCATCTCTCTTTCACCACCAAACCAACATCTGCAAATCCTCTCTCTCTCTCTCACTCCAAGAAAAAAAAAAAAATGTCAGTCAACCATTACCACAACACTCTCTCGTTGCATCAACACCACCAAAACGACGTAGCCATATCACAAAGAGAGTCTTTGTTCGAGAAATCACTCACACCAAGCGACGTCGGAAAGCTAAACCGCTTAGTCATACCAAAACAACACGCCGAGAAATACTTCCCTCTCAATAATAATGGCGGCGACGATGACGTGGCGACGACGGAGAAAGGGATGCTTCTTAGCTTCGAGGATGAGTCAGGCAAGTGTTGGAAATTCAGATACTCTTATTGGAACAGTAGCCAGAGCTACGTGTTGACCAAAGGATGGAGTAGGTACGTCAAAGACAAACACCTCGACGCAGGCGACGTTGTTTTCTTTCAACGTCACCGTTTTGATCTCCATAGACTCTTCATTGGCTGGCGGAGACGCGGTGAAGCTTCTTCATCTCCCGCCGTCTCCGCCGTGTCTCAAGAAGCTTTAGTTAATACGACGGCGTATTGGAGCGGCATGACCACACCTTATCGTCAAGTACACGCGTCAACTACTTACCCTAATATTCACCAAGAGTATTCACACTATGGTAAAATTTAAACTCTTTATTTCCTCTTTTGTTTTTTCTTTCTCTCTTATCTATATGTCAGATTTATACTCTTTTTCTGTTTTTAAGAGATATTTGTCCTTTTTTCACAAAAAGAGATGTTTCGTAATTTTATTGCATATTTACATGTTATTTCAAAAAACTAAAGCAGATTATTATTTTAGATTTTCTGCCTATTTTATATGGAATTTAACTAGAACATTCATCGTTAATGAAAAGGAAGGAATGTATATTCATTTTCTTCAATAACTCCTAGATTATTATAATTGATTAATTTCTATCTAAGTTTTTTTTGGTTACGTTTTAAAAGCAAAACATAAGAATTTTTAAAGGTTAGGGCAAGAACTTGGAAAGCTCAACCATTTTAGTTAGCGGGTGGAATATCTTTCTTATAAAAGCATTTGAGTTATCTAAAACTATATGACAATTATTTTGGTTGCGTGAGTATGCATATAAAATAACAACCTGAAATAACATTTTGTCTTTTATTTTTTTTGTCATTCTTATTATTTAATTTTGGACCCGACAATTTCAATAATCTTCTCCAAGTTGTACCTAATCCGTTACATGCGCGTGAGGAGAACCGTCCAATCCACTTAGACTAACGTGCTCTTTATTTCTTCCTTTTAATTCATTTTAAAAAAACACAATTTAACTAAAAGATGCATGCGCACGTGTCGTGACGGTGAAAAAATTGTAGGCGCCGTCGCTGATCAGGCTCAGTCGATACCACCGGTGGTCGCAGGGAGTTCGAGGACGGTGAGGCTATTTGGCGTGAACCTTGAATGTCACGGTGATGCCGTCGAGCCACCACCGCGTCCAGACGGCTATAATGGCCAACACATTTACTATTACTCAACTCCTCATCCCATGGTAAATAACTTTTTTACATTTTTGTCAGATATAAATTTTTGCTGACGTTATTGTATATGCTACTATCTAATTAACTATGATATAAATTGAAATGATATAATTATTAAACAGATGTCGTGGCTGTTTCTCGAGACGAGACAGATGAAATTAGTAATTTTAAAATAGACCTGAAAGAGATTTTTTGGTTTAATAAATAATATAATGGAGGAATCAGGGAGAATAATACTACACTTGACTGTAAAACCACATGGCCAATTTGTTGTTTGTTGATTACTTTGATTTGTCTCTGTAGCCTCCTTCTTTTTTATTTATTAATTAATATCTGCCTTAAGTATATAATATCCGGTGAAAAGTCTATAATTTGGTTTTACTATTCTTATTTGTTTGGCACCGTCAGGTTCTTTGTGAAAGCCAAAGACTTGTTGGAAATACAAAACTGACTAAAAGCATTACAAACTTATCAATGATATTTTTTAATTGTCAAACGACATTAGCTCTGATTTGATTACTATGTTTTATAATGTTCGAAAATAATGTGAAATATTTACAGTATATTCAACAGTATACTCTTGCAGAAAAGTTATTGCTGACAATAAAAATATTAAAATTGCGTGTTGGGTGTGTGAAACAGAATATATCATTTGCTGGGGAAGCATTGGAGCAGGTAGGAGATGGACGAGGTTGATGACATTCAAAAAGAAGTGACAACTTTTTAGATTTTGACTTTAGATTATGGGCCCATACTTGGCCCAATTGTCATAGAGAAACACCCAGAGGAGAATTAATATCAGTAGCTTCGTTATGTATTTACTACTATTTAACTAATTTGAAACAAAAATAAAAGAGGATTATTTTTGTCTACATTTGAGTCATCAGAACAGAAAAATATATGCAAAAAGATGTAAATTAGTGGGTATCTCATCTTTAGTATTTGAAGGCTGAAGTAAAATCAATGAAAGCTTTCTCTAGCACAAAAGTCATTTGAGGGCCGGTACCCCTAATTGGTGAGCTAGGCCTAGACTAAACCTTACACTTACACACATGTAGCATGTATATATGATGATGAGAAATGAATTGGGAACTGTTGAGATTCATGTGAGGAGATTATATGAACAAAAAGTGTGGGCCTAATTACAAATGATTAAAGAAGAGAGAGCATATTCATATATAGCATGTGTGTAAAATATATAGGTTGTGTTACATCGCCTTTTCTCTCTTTTCCAAAGCCAAAGCTAGGGACCATTTTTTTTGTTTCTGTGTTACTTACACTCTTCTTTTGATTCTCTTCTGTTTTTGAATAGCAAAGACAGTGTAAAAGGAATATGAATCATTTATACAAGCTATGACAAAATGGGTTTAGGTCCCAATTGTTTCTATGCATGCATTTACGTTTGTGTTTATGTTTCTCCATATTAGTATTGGTAAGTGGTAAAACAAACGCAAGTTTCTGTTTTAATACATGATTAGACTATTGAATATTCTAACATGGCAACACAAACGCAAACATAAACATAAAATCGAGACTTTAGTCTTTTTTTTATTCTCTAATTCTTGTTTATCCTCCATCTCCACTCTTTGATTTCTTTTAGTGCTCTTCAAATAAAAGAGTTTTAGGAAATTTAAATTAATAGATCATCAAGCGTAGCAATTACCTTTGTCATTTGAAAGATGTTTATGTAGAAAGATAATATTTGGTAGTATTCCCTTGTTATGTTTGTACACTTAACACTTTGACGAGAGAGAGACATCTATACACGAAGGAACTAATTTGTTAAAAAGACATTGCACATCTTGTGAAGCAGTGAAGGGTAAAGTCTTCACAGACTTTGGTCTCTATTCCCATTACTACTCTTTTATTAAAAAAAATACTATATAATAATTAACCAATAGTGATTTTCAAAAATATTGAAATTATAAAGCAAATTGGCATGTGCTACTTGTGAGTGGTGGTAATGGATACTCGACAATACCAGAAAAGTTCGGCCCAATGATAAATTATTTATTATTGGTCAAATTTACATGGTTGGACAAGAAATTCGACTCAAATCTCTCCTCAACTCTCTTTCCTCATATAATAATGATTTTCGTAGTTTATTATAGGTAGAAGGAAAAATAGAACGTGATAGGGTTGCAAAATTTAAGTGGAAAAATCATTAAAAAAAAAAAAAATCAGTGTGCTATACACTATACGCGTTGATTATTAGATAAACATCATCAAATTATGTATACATACCTTTATTTTAATTTTTAGATGAAATAATATAGTTTTAATATCTTGTAATGATAAATTGATGAGAGTCTAGAAGTATAATATACTTTCATAAGAATAGTTTTACAATTTACATCGATACATATATAGAAATAAAATAATAAATCTAGTTTCCTAAATTATAATAATGTTACAAGTTACATTGAAATATATAGAGAAAAATTAAATTAGTTTCCTAAATTAAGATAAATTAAATGTAATAATATATTTAAAGATAATTTTAAATATCCTAAACTTAGATATTGACCTTTATCCATAATTTTCTAGGATCATATCTTTCTTTGTTTTGTTATCTCAATCTTCGAGGTCGATCTCTGGTTTTCTATCTTCCAATAGATTAGTCGTCTCGTCTCGATCTAAAAATGTAGAAGCGAACATGGGAGGAAGAAAATATTATACGTTAATTCAATTATGTGGGATGCATTCTATTAATATTTTTGTCTGTCACATGGATGAGTTGATGATGGATCTATTAATAATTTAATTACGAATTTATTGCCTACAGAAACTATTTATTAATACTTTTCTCAGGCAAAAGAAGATCACATATTCACATTTTTTCACGTCTCCTTCTTCACACAGAGAAAGAGGGAGAGAGATTGCATCTTATGCGACATGGATCATCATCGAGAATCGAATCCTCTGAAGGAGCTTTTCTCTCTATCTTCGTCTCCTTTCTTCTCCACCTTGAAGATCAAGAAACCTATATTTGTCGGGATCTCTCTTCTCATTAGCTTCCTAATATTCTCTGTTATCGTCATCGATCTTGTCGGCTTCGAGCCTCATCTCTGTTTTGGATTCTTATCGTCTTCCCGAACCCTAACGAAGGGAACAGGAAACGACGACGTATGTGACTATTCATACGGAAGATGGGTTCGTCGACGCCGTGATGTGGACGAAACCTCTTATTATGGAGAAGAGTGTCGGTTTCTGGATCCTGGTTTTCGTTGTCTGAATAATGGAAGAAAAGATTCTGGTTTTCGACAATGGCGATGGCAACCACATGGCTGCGATCTTCCACGGTAACTAATTCTTACGTAATTTTCCTTGGACCTGAAGGTATTGGTTCCGAGTAAAACAAACATCTAGGGCTTAATTAGGGTTACTGGCAATTCATTGATCCGTTAGAGCTTATAGAGTTATTACAATCATTGGTTCTAGAAACCAACTTTAATCTTGTTTGATTTAAAAGAAATAATGATTTGTCCACTTTAATTTTGAATTGCTTTTGTGACTTTAAAGGTTGAAACTTTACACTTTTATGTATGAATTTTGCGCCAATCAAATTCAATTTTTTTGTACTTAATTTGTTAGATATACCTTGTTTACTTCTTGTGAAAACGTACGATTACAGATTTAACGCAAGTGATTTTCTGGAGAGGAGTCGGAATGGGAGGATTGTGTTCGTCGGAGATTCTATCGGAAGAAACCAATGGGAATCTCTTATGTGTATGCTGTCACAAGCAGTGTCTAATAAATCTGAGATATATGAAGTTAATGGGAACCCTATAAGCAAGCATAAGGGTTTCCTTTCGATGCGATTTCCGGAACAAAACCTAACTGTTGAATATCATAGAACACCGTTTCTGGTTGTGGTTGGTCGGCCACCTGAGAACTCATCGGTAGATGTCAAAGTGACGGTTAGAGTCGATGAGTTTAATTGGCAGTCCAAAAAGTGGGTCGGGTCTGATATTCTAGTCTTCAATACAGGACATTGGTGGAACGAAGACAAGACCTTTAACGCGTAAGATGTTCATGTTGAATTCAACATTCTGGTAACAAGAGAAAGGTGGTTGATAGTCTTACCAGGTTACTTCTGTTGTTGTTGCAGGGGCTGCTATTTTCAGGAGGGAGGGAAATTGAACAAGACAATGAGAGTAATGGAGGGATTTGGGAAGTCTTTAAAGACATGGAAGTCATGGGTTTTAGAGAGGCTAGATTCTGAGAGGAGTTATGTCTTCTTCAGAAGCTTCTCTCCTGTACACTACAGGTCTGTTTCAGAAACAAATTAAAAGAGGACGAATCAGACGATAGTCTTTAGAACTTTGACCCAGGTTTGACCTTTTGGGTGTTTTCAGGAACGGGACATGGAACTTGGGTGGTTTGTGTGATGCAGAGACAGAGCCAGAGACTGATATGAAGAAAATGGAACCTGATCCTATCCACAACTATTATATTTCTCAAGTAATCCAAGAAATGAGATATGAACATAGTAAGGTTAAGTTTCTGAACATTACATATCTGACCGAGTTCAGGAAAGATGCTCATCCTTCACGGTATCGAGAACCGGGAACTCCTGAAGATGCTCCTCAAGACTGCAGTCACTGGTGCTTACCCGGTGTACCTGACACATGGAACGAGATTCTCTATGCGCAGCTTTTGGCAATGAATTACCGAACAAAATGAATAGAGGTACAAGTATATATTGCTTCCTTCCTAGTCATAATGCTATCTCCTCGACGCCTTCTTCGGTCTCAGTTTCATTTGTTTGCAGTTCCTTGATTTTCTCAAGCTGTCTCAATAGGTTCAACCTTTCAGACCCATATGTGGAAGGAATCTGAATGAAGAATATCATCAAAACTGGTTCAAAGAGAAGTTTTTGAATTCTGACGATCTATATACACAGAAGGTGTGCTTACCAGGCCGGGTACATATCTCTGAATTCCAGCCAGCATGGCTGCGTGACCAACCGCTGTAACCTGTTCAGAATAGCATACTAAATATATTAGTCCCATAGACTAGAAAATGGAGCTGTGAATGAGAATGCTGACACTGCAGGCGCCATAGGGTTGTACAAAGCAACTAATTAAAGATGTAGCTTGGAGTGATTCAGAAAAAGTGTATAATTTCAAAAAAGTGAACATAAACTTATCTGTAACTCTGTAAGGTTATTTTTGACTTACCGGAAGAAGCATTAGAATACCGATGGGAATAACTGATGCCAAGTCAGTCATGGTTCTGCGCAGGGCTTTCTTTTCTTTTTCTGTTAATTCATCACCAATCAGAGATCTCCGAAGTAGCTGCACAGCAGCTGCTGAATCAATGGCAAGAAGTTGAGTACCTTGCCACACATCCTGTAAATGGAAAAAAATTAACAAAGCACAGAGGAAAAGACAATGACCCAATAACACAGAAACACGCCATATAGATGTAGTCTTTAGAGGAGATATTTATACCGTGGAGGCTTCTCTTAGTTTTTGAAGAGTTTTCTCAATTATGTTTTCCTTCATGGGAGACTGAACCAACTGAACACTTTCCGTTCTACTGCTTGCTTGAGGAGTATCATCAGATATTATTTCCTGTAAAGTAAGAACAAACACTTGGAAGCTAGTATTGGTGAAACAAAAGACGCAAGACACAGCATTTTGGATTTACTAAAAGGGAGTTGATTGATCATCTTCTACCATGTTGAGAAGTTTAAACATGAAAGTAACAGAGCTAAGAGCACAACACAGAATTAGGCTAGTACGGGATTGTTCATCATACAGGGTTTTACTTACTAAAATGATGGTTAATCCAACTGAAATGATAATATGTCATTTCACTTTCCTTTTGGTATGAGCTTTTTATTTAACTTAGGAGGAAATGAATGCATTATTGAAACTAGCAGTTTGTCAGTTAACAGTTACTAACCTCCTCATCTACTGACTGATCAGTGCTTCTTTTGACCCGCTTTTCCAGTTCTATTAGCTCGTTCCTTAGAATTTCGAATCGGCTGATCTCATTTGGTTCTGAGTCTATGCTAAGTAAGTTTCCACTGGGTTTCCCAATATATTCACCTCCCTGCATATGCGAAACAAATTCCTGAATCCTTTATCCGTGCTAGACTGGAAATGGTGGGATTTTATATGCATCATCTTCAATTAAATGAAAACGAAATAGTAGTATATGCTATCAGAAAATTTCAGGATACTACATATGCAAAATACTTGAGATAGGATCACAAATGGTGCTTACTGATATCTCAGGATCAAGCTTCTTCCTTGGAGGCCGTACAAAGAATCCCCAGAATCCACGACTTATACTAATGCAGAGAGAAACAAAAAATACGTCATTGTGACCAGAGTGGAACAAAAGACTAGTCACCCTTATATAGCTGAAACTAACATGGAAAGTGTGAAGAGGGAAAATATTAAGCAATAGGTAGCATACCTTTTGCCTTGATCCTCAGAACTAATTGCGATTTTTGTGTCTTTCCCTTTAAAATACCGTTTTTGTACCTTATAGGATTCCTGAGAATCATTTTTGTCACCTCCCTGTGTTCACCATATGAGGTTTTAGTCTCCCACACAAATTTAAAAGCAAAACATGCACCCTCAATTCTTTCTTTATAATCCTATTTTGGGACTGATGCTACACTCCGTAGAGAGGGATACAATTGGTTTGCTTTGGTCCATCTAGCATTCAGATAAATTGCAGCTCTAGCAGGATCAAAACAAAAAGTGACAATGACAAAGAAAAACCTGTTGCAAGGAAGCTGCTTTGGCTCTGAAAGTTGCCTCCAGAAATTCAGCCTCTTTCTTAAGCTTCCGTATTTTCTCTAGGTCAGAGCAAGCGGCTTTTATTTGTTCCTTTCCAGACGATGAGTTTGATACATACAACTCCTGTAGCAGGCTTTCCAGTCTCACGAGGGCTTCATCTACACTTTCTAGGGCCTGGGGACTATGTACTGTTAGTATATAAATTGTCTTCAATAAGACAAAAATCTTTAACAGGAATCGGATCCAAGTAGTGTACGAAGTACAACAGTCCTTCCAAATAGACCAATTCATAAGAGACCAACCTTGTCAAATGAGTTCGACTCTCTAACAATTGATGATGCATTCCTGTCAAAAAATAGGTATTTGTCACTTCCATCCTGCATCAGACATAATCCAAACGGCAGACAGTCTGCTAGATTGATAGTAACTGATAAAGGCAGGCTCCAGAATCATGAATGTGAAAAATGTGAAGTTAATGGAGATGGTTTCCACGCAATTTGTTGTAACTACGACATAATTGTAAATATCCAAGACATATGTTTTGAATTTTGCTTGGAAGTATGTTTCTCACAGGTACAGTCTCAATTATTAGTAGAGTATACCAATCAAGTAGGAAAGTGATTTTCCAAATGCAGGCATGAATGTATAAATCAGAGAGATGGGGTTCCGTTATCTTACTTTAATATCCCCAGTTCTTCTTTACACCGAATCAAAGTTTTGTGCCTGAACATTAAGAAAGACAGTCAGCACAAAAACAAAAACAAAAACTTTCTTTATTGTCCAAATATTGAGTAGACATTATGTCAAATACCCCTTGGATAAGAATTTTGCTGCCTTGACATTAGATGGATTCTCTGGCCATTTACTATATTTAATAAAACTCTGTAGCCAATAAGAGCAAACATCCAACAGTTGGGGAATAACTTCATAATTAGGTGGTCCTTCAGTTTTGCTCTTATGCCCATGTGATTGTTTTGGAGGCTGTGTGCCAGTATTGTCTGGATAGAAAGGAATCCATTCTAGTTCTTCGCAAACAACCTACATTAATTTCCATGAAAAGACATCAAAATAATCCTTAGGAATTTTCTACTGATATTTTGATTAATGTCTACCTCTACATACAGCTGGTATGAACTGATGGCTGAAAGTTGAGGATAGTACAGGACGCTGCCCCCAATAAGATGCCTGAATTTAAACAGTTCATGAGTATAGGTCAAGAGTGTGATAAGTAAACACAAACTTACAAAAGTGGGAATGGAAATAGGGTAAAACAGTGACAATTACCTAACAAGGTCTTCCAAAGGATTTTCCAGAGAATCAAAACCATTTGCAGCTAAAATGGACTGTGTGCTCCTGCCCAAAGCAATGAAGAATCCAAAAATTGCTAAATCTCTCTCCAAAACCTGCAAGGCACCGACAGGTGCCAATTAACTTCAAAAGATTTATATACAAATATACTAGTGGGCCTGATTGGCAAGTGCTTTACAGTCTTTACAAAGCAAAAAAATTTCTAAAGATTTGAAATACATCCAATCAAGCTTTAGAAGCTTTGGCTTTCCTTTTTTTTTCACAGCCAAAATATTTCCTTAATTCACTTTTTTGGCTGTAGAAAGCCTTTTTTCCTAAAGCACATAATTTTCAACTTTCCAAAATTTTAAATTCTACAGCCAAAATTCTACAGCAATAAAATCTACAGCCACAGCAAATAAACCTACAGTCATATTTCTACAGCAAAAAATGTAAAGCTATAGCTGTTACCAATCAGGCCCACTATCATAAATCTTAAAGGGTAATAAAACCGAGATAAACTTGGAATCACTGTTTTTCACGAAAAAGTAACTCCGTAAACTAAAGTCTCCCAATATTTGTTTTGCTTCTACTAGCGTCACTTTATCTAGACCCTTAAATTTATACACTGTTTAAGCCACTTTCTCATGTTCAAAGGCACTTATAAGGAGAGTAATCTAGACAAGCTATTATGCTCATATTCAAACATTAAAAAGAACTAATATGACCAATGCACAGAAAGCCTATAAACAGTTTAAATGTGTCCTCTGGACAGTTCTTACCTCTATACTTTCGGATGTTGTTAACTTTGACCATATTTTCTCCCTATCTATAGCCCGCTGCAGTTGTTTCTGTATAAGATCGATCCAGAAAACTACTTCATCTGTAGCAATGTCACCATTAACTCTGCACATTGCTGCGCGAGGACCAAAATGAGTAAGAAACTCTCTTTGTAGGCCTATGCTTTTGATTGAATGATACGCTTGAGGGAGTGGAACGAAGTCTACAAGTTTTTCCATCAATCTTCCAGTTGTATCTGGAATCATAGAGAAGAAGGGCGGGCAGGAAAATTTTGCCGGGCCAACTTTCGTGATTGCTGCAATGCAATTGAGCACAAGCATGAGAAGTGACACCTCAATCTCATTACTTGCAGCTGCGGACTTTCCTTTTGCATAGCTGGAATGAAACCTCACAATCAAACTAATGTTTTACAGTATCTACTAATAAGGTGAGAGCATTCAACCAAAAAGAAGGAGATTTTGAAAGAGAAAACATACACAGAAGTGGCAGCAACAAAACGTTGGTCCCCCTCGATATAATTCACAAAAGATGTCACCACTGAAGGAACTTGCTCGGACCAAAACCATTCATAGGCTTTAGGATGTTTGGAAGATAGATTCTCTCGCATCATATTCTCAAGGGGAGCAGCTTGGCGTGATAAGCTGCATAATGCCAAAAATTGAACATAAGCAAAATAGTTAAAAAGAAAAACTAGATAGCAACGACCAGTTCCAGAAAGATTTCCAACGTTGATGAAAGAAGATTCCTCAAACGAATATGCGGGAACTATAAAACACAAAGCAATGGAAATCTCACACAATCTTTACAAAAGCTAGAAAGTTTGTGTTCACTAGTTAATATAGCTTAGCCGGAAGATATGGCCTGACTCAGAAATCCAACTTAGACATGGCATCGATAGATTAACTATTACAGAAATCTAATCTATAGACAAGGAAATAGCTGAGTAGGAAGCAAAAACGTATAGAAAAGTTGTGTTCATGTGAAAAGCCAGATTCAATAAGTAACTACTCGTGGAGTACCTCCTTTGAACAAAGACATTAATATCCTCGTCTCTGTAATTGCCTCTAGATGAAATCTCATTTACTGCTTGTAGTAAGGAATACAGAGAAGCCTGTAAAATCATGAATGTAAGATGAACTGAGACTACTGGAGACAAAACATTGACAAAAAAAAAAAACACTTTGTTTGCAAGTGGAAAGAGAGGATTCATCAAACTAATGTAAACACCATCATGTATTAGTGAGAGTGCAACTAAAAGGCACAAACGGACCTGATACGAAAGAGTCTTCACCCATGCATATTTATCAGCACCAAGCCAGGTCGCAGGAAACCATGAAAATCTGGACGGAGTAATCTTCTCTCTAACTGCCAATTCAATAGATCTAGCAGCATCATGCAAAGACTGGATAAGTCCATTAGAGCTGTTTTCATCTTGTGATGATCCGGTGAAATTGGTCCTCATGTCCCCCAAATTACTACTAGATCTTGGCTTAGGACTTCCATTGATAGCCACTCCATCTTCAGCAGATGCCAAGACCAGCCTCTGTGATTTATTCTTGCTACGACAAATTTTGCTCCTTTCGAAAAAAACATATCTCACAAACAATTGGCTCCTGGGATTGCTCCAGCAATTAGATAAGTACTCCAAGTGTACCGTCTTCTTGCAAGATATGAAAGTAACAATGGACATCCTTGGCAGACATGGTTTTGAAGAAGAGCTACAATTGAATCAGCCACAAAAATCAAAAGAATGATCTACTTGGGAACAAATAACAAAATTGAATCATTTAAATCTCAGTTTCTCTTTTCTGGGTATAAACGAAATCGTGAATTGAACACTGGAGAAGATGGTCGACGGAAAATGAAAACCCCAAATTGATTCCACTAAAAGATTTCTGGGAATGATCTGAAGATTGAAGGAATAATGAAAAGACTCAGCGTTTACAAAAGTGAGTTTGAATTACCTTGAGGATACAAGACCAGGTCGTTGTAGTCTAACTGCCATCTACATGAAGCGGGAAATTATTCTTCACGATTTTAGTTTGGTGAGAAAGTGAAGAGAAGCGATTGAATCATTAGTGAAGGAGACGAAGTAGAAGAAGAAAAGGTGACGTGGCACCAGGAAGACTCGTTTATCCTTAAACCAAAAAAAAGGAAAGGAAGGAGAGAATATATGCCCAACGAGAACTCCGTGAACGTCCACTAATATAACGCCACGTAAGATATTTCTCTGCTATTCTCTGTAACATTATCATTACCCAGCGTTTTGGAGTATGTTGGGTAATTTATAGGAGACATTTTTAATCTCATAATAATTCGTTTCTTGATGAAATTTGAGAAAAATCATTTCGTTTTTTTTTCTTTCACAAAAGCAGAGCTACAATCACACTTTCATTTTCCTTTTAAAATGAAACACAAGGTAGGATGAGTAATTACATAATTGACAATAACTATATTACAATAATGATGAGCACACATGTATATAAGGTTTTTGATTAGTGTCTTTTTAGAGCGACGCCGGAGATGACAACGAGGATGGTGAAGAATACGACGGAGATAAAGGCAGAGACAACAGCTCCACTGGATTTCTGACAGAAGTCCCCAAACTGTTGGCAAATGGGGAGCCAGTTCGTGTTCTGGTTTCCACTGTGCGCTAGATACGATATTGCTGCTGCCGATGATGCAGCCGCCGTGTTCAAAGCCAGAACCGCCTGTTCCAACACAATTCTTAGTTTTTTTCTTGATACTAAAGTTTTACTTAAGAAGAATTTGAAGAGTTTTGAGTATATACAGTGTCAAGAACGAGCAAGAGTAATCTTGGGGCGGTGGCGAGAGGGCGAAGGATTGTCACGACGGAGATTGGGAGAGACAGAACGAGATATCCTCCTACTAGGGCCATGGCAATCACAAAGAACCTAAAGAAAAAATATGACCTAATTAGGTGACGTGTTTCACAAGAAAACACAAGAATCTGTTTGATTGATCAAACATCTATAAGTCGTACTGGAAAGTTGGTAGATCATCGTAGCTAGCTTCGAACTGTAAGAACTGTGTGAAGAATGGAAGAGTCTCGTCGCTTGTTCCCATAGTTGCAGCAGCGGCTAAAGCTGCAACAATGGCAGCTAGACGGAGGAGGAAGTCGAAGATGGAGAGACCTCTGTTGTATCCACCTGAGCCACTAGTGGTATGGTCTCTAGCCACACCGATTAGAGGAGCTTTGCCTTTCATAGCTGAGCTGGATTCTGCAGGGACATCAATGGTGGTAGATTCGTTTTTCATTTTCTCTTTAACCTGTTTCTTGAGACTTTAATCTTCTGTGTTGCTTTGGAAGTGGAATCAAAGAAAATTCGATGCTTTGGTGGTGAATGAGCAAAGCGATTTATGATTGGGTTTTATAAGGTCTTTAGAGCTTTGGTGGAATCAATGGAGCAGAAGAAGTGGGGAATTGAAGAGTAGTTGCTTGCCTTTTTACTCTCTCCACATTAATTAATTAAAAGATATGGAGTTGGCAAACATAATACATGTCATAAGTCTACAATAATAGTGTATTCATAATTCAAAAGTCGTTCGTTGGGTCTCACTTATGGGAGTAAGCTTGAGCGATAACTAAATTATATAATGTAGTTAAGGCAACGAAAAGCTTTGGCTATAACTATATTTACTATAATATGATTCAAAATCCAACACATGAAAACATCCTAAAAAGCCTTGAAACCCTAATTGATACACAACAACTTGATCTCTCAAATGAGAAGAAAAACTCCAAATCCACTTCCACCTAACGACTTCCCAAGAATCATGTAAAGCTAAACTAAGAGTGGAAGGAGACGGAACAAAAGAAAGAGGTGGTTTTTCTGTTCTTTTTACTACACAAGCAGTAATCTAAAGTCTAGTTCCTATAGTCTTGGAAGTAAAAAGCAGGAAGAGCTCATGGACTCTTTCTTTCACCCCTCTTCACACATTGATTGACATTTCTAATTTTTCCGGCATTTTGCAGCAGCTTGATTTGCTGGGTATCTAACTAGTAGAGTCCATTCTCTTTGAGATCTGCGGGGATTGAGTTGGTAAAGAAGAAGTTACAGGAGCAGAACCATTGGCCTTGAGAGACGGAGTGGCTTCTCCAGTAACGCTGAGTCTTGATGGTCCCGAGTCTTTCGAGATTAAGGGATCATCTTGGACCTCTTTTTGCAGCATTTCCATTCGCCTTAAGGACGGTACTTCACCTTTGCAGTACTTTTTCCACATATTCCGATATGCGGATTCAAGAGCAACAGCAAAGGAAGGACCATTACAAACAGGAGATCCAGCCATTAGATCCCGGAGACTCATTCTCAATTTAGAAAGAGCTGTGACATCAGAGGCTAGATCAACAGATAACTGAACATACTCATCCTCATTTTTGGCAACCAGGTGTCCTAATCCTGAATCAAGAAATGGTTGCATTAGCTAAACGAAATCCCAAGTAAAAACCAATTCTAGCAATACCAATTCTGAGAGCTTACCAACTTTAGTGAGAAGACTGACACCAACATTATGAGCATGTACTGAGCCAGCCATTGTAACACATGGAACTCCCATGTAGAGAGATTCACAAGTAGTCGTCGTTCCAGCATAAGGGAATGTGTCCAAACTGCATTAAATGTAGATTAAATATGTGAATCTATTAGCCTGGTGTTTTACAGAGCACTCTGTGTCAAATCTTACCTAATATCCATTAAGGAATAAGCTTGCATATGGTCGTGGTTGAAAAGAATCAACGGCAAGAGATCAACACGCTTTGATTCTAACCCAAGCTGCTCCAGCGTTGTGAGAAACCTCTGCCTAATGCTATCGCAACAGAAAGGTTTGCATTTTACCACCAGACGAGAATTGGGAACTGCACAAAGTATCCTAGCCCACACTTGCAGCACCTTAGGAGTGATCTGATTTGCACAAACACAGAGATAAACCTGTCAAAACATTATAAGAGAGACTAGGGGAGATTGGTGCATATGATCCAAGGAAACAAAATATTTAACCTTTGCGAGATTGTTGAAACTACCAAATGTGACAAAGCCATTAGAAAGCGTAGGTGTTGGACAAACAGGACCAGCCTCTGGGGAAGGTGTATAACAAAGAAAACACTCCGGAAGCCTAACCAGCTCCTCGACCTGCCTGCAATCAAATATCACAAAATAAAATAAAAATTTCTAAGGTTTTTATTTGGATCACTCCAGAAACCCAATAATTTCATCATGAACCAAAACGTACTTCTGTTTGGTATCTGGTGGATCAGCCAACGAATCTGTAATTCTGTAATCAACAGTGGGCAAACCCGTAGTATTTGGATAGCCGATCCAAGTAACCTGGTATTTTAGCTAATTAAAGTAAACTTGAAATGGAAAGTCAAAGGCAAAATCCGAAACAACAAAATGAGATAGATTAATATATGATATATCCTCTCACCTGAATAGGTGCTGGTCTGCAGGCCATTGTTCCCAACTTGTTGTTTGCCGTATGACCAGTGAGTTCTACCAAAATGTCGATTTTGTCTTCTCTGACCATACTTGCTATCTTTTTCTCATCTATCCCGTATATATCCTTCCAAACTCCACCTTTCTTTAACACTTTATCCCTAAACCTGTATGTTTTTGCATCTGCCTGCAAAGCCATGAGAGAGCAATGATTGCTCAAAGGGGAGGAATGCCACGAGAACCAGGAAATGAATTGCTTTGAGGGAAAATGTATATATACAAGTCATATAGGTAAAAATCCTACCTTAACTACCGCTGAATAAACCACCACTTTGTACTTTGTATAATCATGATGCGTAAGGGGAGCTTCAATGAAATAAGATACTGAATGAGTGAAGAAATCTGGTGAGATATATCCGATGGTGATAGGTCGCTCTGGATCTTTCAGATTGTCCCATGAAGTGTACTGAGGGTGTAATCTTGTGAAGCGCCAACCCCAGTCTCTGTGCTCATAAGATTTTTTCAATGTAAGACACACATAAGCAACATAATACAAATCTACATTATTATTATATGTGCTTACCTGTGAGCCTCATATAGTTTGTCATCGAGTCCTTCATTTATGTAGTTCATGGCAAGCAATCGGTTCTACAGAAGGGACAGGAAGGTTTTAAGCAAATATATCTTTCAACCTCATATCAAGAAGAGCACACTAAAGTATAGGTACCTGGCCAGCATTGCGAGAATCTGGATCTATCTTAAGGCATTCCTCATAAGCATCGATAGCCATAGTTATATTTCCAGCATCTCTGTAAAGAACACCTACATTTGAATCGCAACATGAAACTGGTTATAACAGACACTAAACGACTCTTAGCGCCAGGGAATTAGAAACAAAGAGGCAAAAAAAACATAAAATCTAAATATCAAAGGAATATAATATCCAAGCAGTGTTACATGTAAGAAAGCTCGTAAAGAACAGAAGAGGAGAAAACAGACCTAGGTTGTTAAAAGCTTCTGCATAGGTGGGATTTGCAAGTATAGCCTTCTCGATCATGCTGGCAGCAGCATCCATTTTTCCCTGTAATATCAGAGGAATTGGCATTCTATCGATTCTGGAGATTCAATTAAGAAAATATTGAGCCGCCCTTAATCTAGATCAAACCTGGACTGTGTAGACGACACCAAGGTTATTAAGCGACTGTGCGAAATTTGGTTTGATTGATAGAGCCATCTACATAGGTTGGGAGATATTATAAGCCACCAAACACAATGGAATTCTCATGAAGCGCTGCAGATATATGCAAAAATAATACCTGATAACACTCTACAGCTTTATCAAGGTTGTCACGGTCTTTGTAAAGTACTCCCAAATTGTTGCAAGCCTCAGCACAATGTGGATTGAAGTGGAAAGCAAGCTCATAGAAGACAATCGCCTGCACATTGAGAACGCAATCATGACAGACATATTTCATTCTTTGGCCCTACATTTCTCATTCTAAAATACAGAGATTTACATACAGAGTTTTGTATTAATTACGATAACATGTGGAGAAGGATATAAATGTAGGTAGATAAACTAGTCAAGATATAGATCATTTAATCACGCAAGTAAAGTGGCGAAGAACGGATAAACATGCAATACCAAGCACACAATTACTGACTTACAGAAATGAATAAATGACAAATTAAATACCATGTCGAACTTTAGCATTTCACCATAAGCCACCCCAAGATTGTACATAGCATCTGCATAGTGCCAGTTATAATAGAGAGCCTTCTTGTAATATGCCACTCCTTGGGTTACATCGCCTTCAAGTTTAACCTGAAATATCATTGACAAGGCAGATGTAATCACAGCTGAATAGCTTCTCGCCTTTGGAAAAACAAGGATTAAGAAACTATAAACTGCAAATCAAAATTATACGGCGGAAATGTTCACTAGTTAAGAACAGAAACACGTTCCAATGCCATTGCCGTGACATAAGTTAAAAGCACATACAGCACAAAGGCCAGCTAAACAAAGCGAAGTTTGTAACAAATTTTCTAGAAGGCACCCCTTACAAAAAGGTATACTTAAGTTATCAAAATTATGATAAAAGTTAGGATTATTACCTTTGTTCCTAAATCTGTCAGAGCTATGGCCATATTGTTCTTCGCAATCTCAAAGTTTGGAGACACAGCTAGACATCTAAGGCAGAAGAAAAAAGAAATCAGTGCCTCATTTGTACCTTCAACAAAGTAGCAAGAAACCAGTCAAAAGTTAGCAATGAATTAACAGATATGCTACCTCTCATAGCAAGTGATTGCCATCTCCAAGTCACCACGGTTCTTATAAATGACACCCATGTTACAATATGCTTCAGCATACATAGGCCTCTCAAGTGCAGCCTTCTCGTAGCAGCTCAAGGCATTGTCATATTGCATCATTTCGGAGTATACAACACCTAAGTTGTAATATGCAGGCTGCATAACGAAAGTATAACACACTGAATTAGAGAATCAGTTAAATGGTACCAAGAGTGTAAACTGGTAGAGGACCAGAAAAGTTACAGCATAGTGTGGGTCAATCTTAAGGGCTTCGTAATACTTTTGAATTCCCTCCTGAGTATTCCCAGCCAGCTTCAGGCTAGTTCCAAGGTCGGTCAAAACAATGGCTAAACACTCTGCTGCTGGCTTGTATGATGCATCTGCCATCAGTGCTTTCTGGTAGGACTGTGCAAAATATAATGACGAGTAATAGTTAGAAATAGATTATTTAGAAAAAAACTAATGCATATCACTGAGTTAACAAGTTCTACGGTCTAACTAATGCAAATCACCACAGATAGAAGGTAATGTAATGTCACACCTCAGCAGCTTCTACGAGGCGACCTTCTTCTTTATGAAGTATACCACAGTGCGTGAGGGCACAAGCATTGTGAGGATCCAACCTGATCGCTTCAGAAAAACAATCGAAAGCTAGATTCCCTTTGTTTTGCGTCTGCAAGCATATCCCTTTTCCAATGTGAGCTTCAACATTCTTGCTATCTTTCTCCAGCATAGCCTCATAGAGAGCAAGCGCATCAGCAAACTTGTTTCTTGCCCGAAGGATATTGGCATAAGAAAGTGTAGGAGAAGACCGAGATCCATTGGAAAAACCGTTCTCTACGATTGGTGACCTCTCTCTCTCAGTATCATCTTCCAGTCCCACCATTTTTTGTACCTAAAATCTTGTTCACCTTCAGAAACAATAAAAAAGAATCCATCAAAGGTGGAAAAAAATTAAATCTTGCACTATTGACATGAATACGAAGCTCCAATGAAGCTAAAGAATTGATCTTTTACAGTATCAACATCACATTCAATTCCAATAAACCCCTAAGATCACACAAGCGGAGAACAGTACAAAAAGATCACACCTTTGGAATATAAACCCTAGAAATGAAACTAAAAGAAACGATTAACCAGAAGAATGCAAATGTAATTGAGAGTAAACACGAAAAGATTAAACACCAAGGTCCGATAATTAGGGTTTAACGATTACTTACCACAGAACCTGAAAAGAGGAACTTGACGAAACTTCTGGAGCCGCTAGAGACGAAATCGAGTGGCTAAAGAAGAATGATATCTGTGAGCTGACATAGGAGAAGCTGATCTCCGCCTCGTTTCTCCGAAAACAGAAAACTTAGGGATTTTATATCTCACATGCCAAACCCAAACCCAAGCGGTGGAGTTGTCGCTTGGCCGTGAATGGATGGAGCGGAGGTGGCGGCGACGGCGTAGCCTCTATTATATGCTCACGGGACAAACGAAGAGGTACGAGGTCGGTCCGAGCCAGTGGACAGAGGCAACGACTCAGATTAGCTCTCCTGGCTTCTTCTTCCACGGCTGGATTGTTATTTTTTTTTAACAAAAATGTTATTGTATTGAAAAACGGACAAAATAGACAACAGTAATAATTTTGCTAAAAGAAAAAAAGGAAATCAGTCTGCTGTCAAACAAAAATAAAAAAGGAAAAAGGGAATTAGTCATGTAATAAAGAAAATAATACCCTCTAGATATGCAAGAAAATTAATTGTTTGATTTGTTTCTTTCATACAATAATTATACGAATCTATGTCCAGCCATTTAGGAGATTTGATTTTTCATGGACTAGAAACTAGAAAGTCTAGAATTATAAAAATTTCTATATGTGTCCAAAAAAAAAAAAAAAACCTTACGACTTCTCTAGTTCGTTTGCAGCCAGATTGATTGATGATGAAGTATGTAATTATTGATATCTCTATAATTTGCTCAATACTCTCAGTCTCACATGTAAAACAAGTTGACTTTGAAAATATTGGTAAAAAGATAATTTTGTGGGGGATCAAACAGGGATAAGGTCGACACACAAATACTAGTTTTTTAATAAATGGTTGGTTTAAGATTTTGGGTCCAAAACACATACAAATATCCCAAGCTTATAGATAATTGGGTAATTTTGCAATTTTAGAAGCGTTTACAATAGTCAAATTAAAGATCATTATAGGTAGGTGGTAGGAATTGATCTCTAAGTTCGTCTCACAAATTTATACGGGTTTAATACAACATTATTCACAATGTTTTAATCACATAAAGTAAAAATATCCAAAAATATTTGTTTAACCATTTTGTTTACTTGGACAAACAAAAAAATCATTGTCATTTTCTTAAGTTTTCTACTAATTTAAAGTAATTGCGATTAAACCAATCCAAATTGTCAAAACCACTCTAGTGTGCAAACAAGTGGGAAATGGATCAAGTAAGTTTCACAAGTGGGCGTCCAATAGTTAGGATCATGTCGGCCTCCACTTGCCTTCTCCTCCTGCTCCTGCCTCTTTGATTTAACGATCACTTACTTGTCTCACCCGAGCTCTCAACTACTGGCTGTGGTTGCATTGATGTCAATCCATTTTGTAATAATTGGACTATGCAATTTATTTTTCATTGTCAAATAATCTGACTAGGCTACTTAAGTTTTGAGCTACTCAGAGAGACTTTTACTCCAAAACGAAAGATAGTCCTTGTAATTAACACGTTTTTTGGAGCAAAACAAAAAGTACACCTAATTACTTAACGAGGAAAGAAAAGTTACATTTCAAACAAGTTTACGGCTAAATTTCAACCAATAAACATATCAAACAAGTTTGTATAATGAATTCCTGATGAACACTGTTGAGTTTTGAATCATCACGAGACATGTCATGAACGCACCAACAATGATAGCATGGCAAAAAAAAAAAAAAAAAAAAAATTTTGATAGCATGACGTTTTAGTCCAAAACCACAAAAAGTTAATTTATATAGTGGATTACTGGATTACATATGATGAAGATTTACTTACCCTAACTTATTTATGGAAATGAATAAACTCAACTAATCAGGGCTATTTAATAGTTTTAATACTTTTAATGCAGTTTCAATCATAGTTGATTGCATTAAATAACCAAAAATATTCAGCATTTCACATATTCGATGATTCGGATGAACTTTGGTTGAAAATTTTCAGTTATAAAAACAATTTTCTCAGGTATGATGAATGAGTTATAAAAACATTTTTATTAGCTTTTTTTTTTTTTTGTCATCCGAAATTAAAAAGAGCTCAAAAGAGCCATTCCTGAGAAATGTTGTTTACATAAGTGATGTGTAGCGGTTCCGTACGAACTTTTCGTGTCAGATTGTCCGCTTTAGTATTAGCACATCGAGAAATTAGAGAAAGAGAGAAATTGGAGAACTCTTACTTGTCGCTCTGAAATTCTTCCAAATACACTGAGAAGGCTGACCATTCGGTTGGGGAGGACACCATCTTCACCAAGTCAGAACAGTTGTAAAGAAAGCTACATCTTGATTATCTGCACCAATCATACACTTCATCGCCCACAGGAGGGCCTCGAATTCTGTATGTAGCGGAGATAGGCTTCTACGGAGGTTAGCAGCTCTCCTTGTTGTCGGCTCACCATGTGATGGTGTGCAAAACCACCCTAGTCCGGAAAACTTATCATTGTCCTTCCAAGATCCGTCCACAAAACAACGATATCCCGTGAAATTCGAATCAATAGACACCCCCCTCGTTCGAGGCCGGTTTGGAGTTGCCCATGATTCTTGATTTTCACTATGAAGCTCCACTTGAGCTGATTGCCACAATTGTGCCTCTTTTTCCGCTAGCCGTAAAACCTCTAGCGGATCATTATCAACATTTCCAAAAATCTTTTCATTCCGTGCTTTCCAGATATACCAAAGAATCCATGGATAAGCACTGGAATCAACCTCCGAAGGTATCCTCCAAAATAGATGATCTAAATTCGCAAAAATAGAATCCGAGGGGAAAATCCCCATAGCCGTAGGAATTTGAGAAAGTGCCCAAACCTGTCGTGCTGGGTGGCACTGAAAGAGTATGTGATTGACTGTCTCCTCAGGTACACCACATCTGGCACATCCTGAGTCACAAACAACTCCTCTCCTCTTTAAATTCTCTGTAACCGGTACACAACCCGTTAAGATTTGCCATAAAAAGTGACGTATCCTTGGTGGACATTGTACTTTCCAAGTGTTAGCCTTTAACTTAATGAGATCTGGCCCAATGAAAGAGGAGCTAGACTCTGACTTATCCAACCTTGCGGTATGATACCCCGACTTAACTGAATATTTGCCGGATTTTGTAAAGTGCCAACCCAAAGTATCCTCCTTGTGTATCGCTCCCACTGGTAGGGCACTAATTAATTCGACTTCATCCTGGTCAAAGATCGCCTTAAGGAGATCAATGTTCCAAAAATTCGACCGGCGGTCGATTAACATGTTTACTTTAAGAGATGGATCCATAATAGATCCATTACTTTTTGCTGGTCTCGGGAATTGAGCTGGAATCCATGGATCCTCCCAAACTGAGATAGAAGTCCCAGATCCGACTCTTTAATAATTTTAAAATAAACTACAATGATATCAAACCATAATTCTGGAACCCAACCAACTAAACCAATATTGGCCGGTCATACTTTGGTTTAGTGACGACATTGATTTTGATTTTGCTCCCAAATCGCGACTCCTCTCTCCTTGGGCAACAACGAAATCATCACCTTCTCTTTTACAGTCACCGGCGATCAATCAAGAGTCGATCTCCGGTAATCAGAAATTTTCCATTCCCCGACATGGCGATGACCATCGAAGGTAATCCAATCACCTCTCTTCCAATTGAATAATTTCCCGACGGAATCGAATCAGATTCAAGTCGATTTCCCCCTTTTACTTTTCTCCGTTTCTCTATGTTCATAGTACTATCCCCTAAGTTTTTGATTTGAATCTTGAACTACTCAGATTGCGTGTTTTTTGTGCTTCATGGATTGTTAGTTTTTGTGAGCTAGGGTTTCTGGGTTTTGAATTGTTCAAACTCACTCATTTTTTTTTCTAATTTTCCGGTGTGGATTTCTCCTGGAATGCTCAAATTTCTATCTTGGTACAGTGTAAGTTCTAAGACTTTGAAGCTCTTTAGTTACTTTTGTTGTTACACCCGAGCAGTGTATTCTCGTGATCTTACAGATTTTATTTTTCCTGATTTCACAGACTTGCTGGACTTGCTTTCATGTTTTCATCTAGTATCCTCCTACAGATCCTGGTACATTTCTGAATATAGCTATCTGCTTATAACTCTTGAAGCTTGATCATAAGATCCTGACTTAGTAGCTTTAGATTCTGCAAGAGACCATTTTTGTTTAGCTACTTGTGCGGTTTCTTGTCACACTTTATCGAAAATGATTAGCTAGTTCTGCTGTTAGGTTGTGAGCTGAGTATACTGGTCTTCTTTTGTACCCTTGTTGATGTAGCAAATAGAGTTGTGAGTCTTGGCCCATTTTACTGAGAGAGATACTTTGTGAAGTATTTGAAGTTACATTCAAACCTTCTTTCATTTTTGAAGTTTTCAGCTTTACTCTCTTGTATGTTGATTAGCAAGCTCTGGACCACAAAAACCATCTAAACCAAAATTACACTTATAATCCTTATCCTTACCGACCTGAGTATATGGTCAGCTGGGGTCCTTAGCCGATCCTGGTACTAACTTACTAGTTGACTTAAGACTTTCTGAACAATTTCTCTAAACTTAAGCATCTTCTCTCTTCAACTTATATCAGGTCCTTATATAGGTTTAGTTTGTTTTTGTTGCAATTCAACTAGAAGAAGAAAGGATAATCAGATTTACATTATCTGATACGTTTCTCATATCTTGTGATTCCCCTGGGTGTACCATGTAATGAGTAACACATGCTATAGTCATCTGGGAGATATAGCGATAACTATTTGTTTATAATTGTCAGGCATGTGCGATATATGGTAATTGGTGGCCAATGCTATCAGCACTCATGTATGTAGTGGTGCCTATGCCTTGTATGTTCTTTGGAGGAGGCTCAACTCAATTCCTTACTAGTCGGGACGGTGGAGGGTTAGTTACTAGAGACTTTTACTGCTACTTTGTAGTACATGAAACATCGATTACCATGTTTGCTCGTCCTTAAAACGCAGGTGGATAGATGCAGCTAAGTTCTTGACCGGAGCGTCGACCGTGGGAAGCCTCGCTATCCCAATCATCCTAAGGCATGCACAGATGATCGAGACAGGTGCAATGCTCATAGAATTCACATCGTTCTTCATTTTCATCTGCACTGTCATGTGTTTCCACCGGGCTAGTCTCGATGATGACTGGTAACATAGATGTTGTTGCGCTCGTGATTTACTAATTGGATCCGTATGAGAAAGAGAGAGTGTGAAGAAGATGAGGTTATTATGAACCCGAGAAAAAAAGTGGTTAAGAAAGTTGTGTTCTTCTCCCTCTTTTTGTAAAGCTTTGTATCACTCAGTGTCTGTAAAAAGTTTTAATCTTTTCTTGAAACAAAGTGCCAAAATATGTTGTTTCACATGGTCAGGAAAAAGTTTTATTCATCATTGTGAATGTTCTCTAGATTAGCTTCTAGAGATTACCAAAGAACAAGTGAAGAGTCATTTGTAATCACTAATCCTCAAGGGCTCAAGCAAACCAAACGAGCATAAATAACCAAAGAGGTGAAGGGAAATTAAATTTGTTATTTGTAAAACTGTCAGTCAACAATTTGAATTAGTAATAATTAGCGATCCCACATGGAAGAAATAATATAATATATATATGGTATGACTTGTTCCCTTCATTGCCGATCGTGAAGAAAAAAATATATTTTAACCTTGGACTTGCTCTAAGGAGGTGGTTTTCTAAAAAACCATCATCGTAATCTTCATCGGTTAACAGGAATCTCTTTGTCAATTGATTTCGCAATACTGGTTAAGGGTTTTGATAATCATGTTTTATCCAGAGACTAAACCAGATGGGGCCAGGCAACAACGATTAATGGTTAACAATAACACTTGTGAACAAAATCTTAGTTTACTTGTCCGACGTGGTCATGAAATAATGTCAAAAGGCCCTTCAGGTAAGCCCATGGACTAACAATAAGCCTTATGAGGGTATAAACGTAATTTACAGGAGTTCCGCTTCGTATATATATATATCCTCGCGAATCACCTCTCAAGGACTTAGCCGTCGTCTACTAGGGTTTAATCGATGTTCAGCAATTTAGGTTTTTTTTTCCTATTAGTCTTATGCTGAAAGTTTCTCGTTTCTTATAATCTCTGGAATAGTTTTTAGATTGCACGATTGTTTTTTCAATTGATTTGTTTGTTTGTTTGAACTCAAAAACGGCGAGGGATGATGACTCAATTAGATGTGCGAATGGAGAAATTCTTCATTTTGAGCTCAAAACTTTATTTGGCATAATAATCTGACTTCGCCTTCAACTTTTTTTTTTTTGTTTTCTATTGGAGGAATGGATTATGGATGATGATTCAATTAGATGTGCGAATGGTTTCATTATGAGCTCAAAAACTCTATTTGGCAATTTTTATCTGACATCTTCCATTTCTCCCATGTTCAATCCTATATTTCTCCTTTATGTGGAATTAATTTGATAGTTTTTTATTGTTTGCGAAATGAAATACATTTTGATTGTTTACCTGTTATGCTTATCCGTTTTGCAACTGTAAAGCTAAAGCAAATTGATATGTAATCCACAAGGTTAATTAGATTAACAAACATTAATTACATTGTTTGTGGCATTGTGATATACAATTAAGAGACCCATGTCATTGGATAAAAAGGAATAGAAAAGAACCATGTTTCTTTTTTTTTTTTTTTGGCTCCTCTCGTATCAATTTAAAAATATTTAACAAACAACAAAGTGAATGCTAGTACCTTTCTTTGTAAATGGTTCATAAGGAAGATAAACTAGTTCTCGGAGAATAATCAAATGTAAAGTTGATCACAAATGATAATTATCCACCCTCTGAACGAAATTAAGCATAGGTTCAGGTAACAAAATATTTACATTGAAATTTTGTTAAGCAGTACTTTTTAAAAATTTATAATATTAATCTCTATCCAGAAAGCAGAAACCGAAATTAATTTCTTTTCAGTGAAACCTCCAAAGAGAGGTAGAATTCAACAATGTATGCATCGAAATTTGGCCCAAACCACTAAATGCTTCGGAAGTTAGTAACCCAAAGTTACAACACTAGGTTCTTAAAGTTACATTTGGCCCAACACTCAGTTGTATACTATTTACCTACCAATGCTATAATCAACGTAATTTCTTTTTTTCTTCTTTTTTTTTTTCATATCTTCAAGTAAAATGTTACTAAAATGTTTTGAAGTCAAATATAAATTCAAACAAAAAACGAACGACCAATCTTTAATCGTTTACATGAACTGTGTAAGTGTAAGCTCTCTGAATCCATTCCTTGTTTCTTCAATATTTAAACGTTGCTTTGACCCCATCAAAAAGAAAAGAATACCAATTATAGAATAGAATTTTCATTTAATTGCATTTAAAATTCGCAAACTGGTCATTAAAGGAAATTAAAAGTGTGAGAGGCGTGAAGTTCATCATCCTACAAAACAAAACCTCCTCATCCACCGTTAGATTTGAAGTTCATCATCCAACGGCTAGAAATCTAATCCCGCTAATAATTTGACCGTTGCAATTTTGCTTTTAATGGCTCCTCTTCTCCTCTCCTCTCTCTCTCAATGATCCTTCTCATACTTTCAGATTCTTTCCATTAACAAGAAAAGAAAAGAAAAGAGTCTGAAAACACCGAAAGAGAAACGATCATGGCCACGAGACCTGTTATACGTCCTCAACCACTTAGAGGTTTATTCCGTTGACCCATCTCTGTTTTTTTTTTTTTTTTTTGTAATTGAGGATACATAATTTTGTTGTTGTTGATGGGTTTTTGCTTTCTGTACAAAAATCAGGTGATCGTCGTGCTCTTGGTGACATTGGAAACATCGATTCTCTTCTAGGAGTTGATGGAGGAAAGATTAATCGCCCAATTACTCGTAACTTTCGTGCTCAGTTGCTAGAAAACGCACAAGTTGCAGCCGCCGCTAACAATAAGGTTTCTTTTTTTCTCCTTTTGATAAATTTTTTAAGCCTCGTGATTCTTGAAATCTTATTTTTTTTTATTTCCTTGCTAAGGATCCAATTCTTGATGGAGCTACCAAGAAACAAGAAGTTGTAAGAGCGGTTCAAAAGAAAGCAAGAGGTGATAAGCGTGAGCCATCAAAACCTATTGAAGTGATTGTGATAAGTCCTGATACGAACGAGGTTGCAAAAGCTAAAGAGAATGTGTCGTCTAATAAGAATACTCTTCTGTTCTTGATGCTCGTAGCAAGGTAGATTATTCGATTCTTTGTTGGATATTGAAACCATAATGTGCAATGTTCTAATTATTTGGTTGTTTTGTATACACACTTAGGCTGCTTCTAAGACTTTGGATATCGATTATGTGGACAAAGATAATGATCTTGCTGCTGTGGAATATGTTGAGGATATGTACACTTTCTACAAAGAAGTTGAGGTACTTATAGTGGAACCTTCTTTTGTAATGCTTATGGATAAGTTATGTGATGTCTTCTTTAAGTTTGTTGTTTCGTCTTTTTTTTGTTGCAGAATGAGACCAAACCTCAGATGTATATGCATACACAACCTGAGATCAATGAGAAGATGAGATCAATCCTTATAGATTGGCTTGTAGAAGTTCATGTCAAGTTTGATCTCTCTCCTGAGACTCTTTACCTCACTGTCAACATAATTGATCGTTTCCTATCTCTGAAGACTGTGCCTAGAAGAGAACTACAGCTTGTAGGTGTTAGTGCTTTGCTTACAGCTTCGAAATACGAAGAAATTTGGCCTCCTCAGGTCAATGACTTGGTATATGTGACAGATAACTCCTACAACAGCAAACAGATTCTAGTGATGGAGAAAACCATTTTGGGAAATCTTGAATGGTACTTGACAGTTCCAACACAGTATGTGTTTCTTGTGAGGTTCATTAAAGCCTCGGGTTCTGACCCGAAAGTGGAGAACATGGTTCACTTTCTAGCTGAGTTGGGTTTGATGCACCACGACAGTTTGATGTTCTGTCCTTCCATGTTGGCTGCATCAGCAGTATACACAGCCAGATGTTGCTTGAACAAGAGTCCTACTTGGACTGATACACTGAAATTCCACACCGGCTATTCCGAATCTCAGCTCATGTTAGTCTTCTTCTTGCTCTCTCTCTATTTATTCTAGCACAAGCGTGATCACTATGTTTGTATACTGATTTGTGTATGTGTGTCTAACTTTCAGGGATTGCTCAAAGCTTTTGGCTTTCATTCACTCGAAAGCGGGGGAGAGCAAGCTACGCGGTGTGTTTAAGAAGTATTCGAAACTGGGAAGAGGTGCTGTTGCTTTGATTTCACCAGCCAAGTGTCTTTTGTCGTCTGCTCCATGAACAAGGCTTGAGAGAAGTTGTATTGCAAACTCTGCATCTTAGTAGATTCTATATCTTTTTATATGTAAAGGTTTTGGTTCTTGTTGAGAAATGATGTTTCCGTATGAATTCAAAAGTATTATAATGAAACTCTTCTGTTGTTCTATATCAGAATCGTTTTGGTCATATTTTTTAACTGTGGTGGAGTCAAATTCGAATACTTATATTACTTGAAAACTTTTTTGTTCTTCATAAGAACAACCAAGTATGATGATATGATCAATGTTAGTTGTTAAAATTGCCAATTTACTCTTGTCAAAACAATAATTTCCATTAAAAAAATTTGTGAATTATGATACTTGTCAAAACAAAATCAAGAATATAAAGCCTAACGTATGTATCATCATCTTAATGATGTCACATAATAATAAACAATGAATGAAACGACGACGTAGCGCGTAATCAAAGCCCTGAGGGTATTTAAGTCAAATTCTCAGAGGCACTCCGATATAACCCTAGTATATAAAGTAGATTTGTAGCGCCGTTAGTGTCTTCCTTGTTTCCACTGAGCAGCATCCAAAAACACTATCGCTTCGTCTCTTCTCTGATCCATTGCTGAAGATGGTAAGCTCTTTCTCTACAACACTTGTCTCTTCCAGATCATTTGGTTTCGTTAGTCTGTAGGGAATTGAGATCTGCGATGAGATAACTTCTGAGATTTCATCAATTAAAAATTTGGGGTTGTCTGATTAATCGCTATGTATTGGTATTGAGCTGATGGTATGTGTACGATGTAGCAGTAATTATGGTTAAACCAATGAACAATTTGTTTCTCAAATGTGTTTTGCTCTCTCTCTGTTTATAGTCGTCGAAGAGAAAGACTAAAGAGCCAAAGGTTGAGAATGTGACTCTTGGACCTGCTGTTCGTGAAGGAGAGCAAGTTTTCGGTGTTGTTCACATCTTTGCTTCTTTCAATGATACTTTCATTGTAAGCTTCTCTTTGTTTCTTTGAGTTTGTGTGGTATAAACTTGTTTTCAGTGCATTTATGACATTGCTTTCAATATTTTTGCAGCATGTGACTGATCTCTCCGGCAGAGAAACTCTTGTTCGCATCACCGGTATGTTTCATAGTAGTCTTTTGTTATCTGTGCTTATGTTAGTGTAGACTCTAATCTCTCACAATATTTCTATAGAATTCATTTATATTCTGTGTAATTTGATGATTATGTGACTTCAATCTTCGAATGCACATTTTGCAGGTGGCATGAAGGTGAAGGCTGATCGTGATGAGTCCTCTCCTTATGCTGCTATGCTTGCAGCTCAAGATGTTGCTCAAAGATGCAAGGTCAGAAATGATTTGATATTCATACTTTTTTTTCTTATAATCACATTGAGCTTCTGGATGATAATGTCTAATGCTCCATATGTGACAGGAGCTTGGCATCACAGCCATTCACGTGAAGCTCCGTGCTACTGGAGGAAACAAAACCAAGACTCCAGGTCCTGGTGCTCAGTCTGCTCTCAGAGCCCTTGCTCGTTCTGGCATGAAGATTGGTCGTATAGGTAAATTCAGAAACTGAATATCTCTCACTTCGTCTTGTTTATTGCAACTTTTGATTGCTCATTGCAAACTGAATCTTTCTTGAATGCATTTGCAGAGGATGTGACTCCGATTCCCACAGACAGTACACGCCGAAAGGGTGGACGAAGAGGAAGAAGACTGTGATTGCACGATGAGGCTCATCATCGTCCAAATGTCCCCTTGAATACCTATGTATTTTCTTGGGTACACTTCGAAGTTAGTTTTGTCTCTCTCCAATTTATCTTTTGAGTTCCTTCAAGAATATTATAAGCTGTGTTTTTCTTCAATATTGTATTTGGAGTTTTGGTAATGATAGTGACTGATCGTGTTGTGTTACTGTTAATCGGCTTATTTGATATTTTCTCCTTTCTCTCTTTTAACTTTAGTTCATCAAATGGAAACTTCTTCGAGATAGTTAACGCTATGTGTGCTCTATAGAATTAGATTAGAAAGTCTAATGCAGTTATAGTAATTTTTGTCGTGATGGTTCTGAATCCAAACCAAGCCAGATTGTTGTCATCTTGTCATAATCTGTTTTTGAGGCCTAATTATTCAACCAAAAAAAAACAATCAATTTTTTAGAATGAAAAGAGTTGATTGATATGGGGAATGTGGTAATTACTAATTACTATGGGAGAGATTGTCTGAGAAACATCAAATATCGCAAGTCTGGCTTTTGGAACTTTTGGTTAGAATGTTAACGATATCACTTAGTTTGTGATTAATGCCATCACTTGGAAGAAATAAATTTATAAGCAGATTATAACCATCATCATCAATTTGTTCTTAGCCTGAGCTCTTCGTACATATTAATATTATAAGCAATTAAGCATTAGGCCTCCTCCTTATAACCTCAAGCAATGAGTTGATTCTCATCATATCCTCATTTTTTGATGCTCTTGGTTGTTAGCGAAGAATGCTTTGTTATGTTCTAGTCTCTTGCTACCTTTATGAGAAGGTAAAGCACATGCAATATTTCCTAGTAAGGAGAAGGGCTCGGTAATTAATTGATGAAGGTAGGAACATTTTTTTTTATATGTAGTTTTATGGCTTTTGAATACATGTATTTCAGATCATTTTGAATGAGGGTAATCAAAGAACTCCATAAGAAATTATTGTTAAAACTAAACCAGTAATATAATAGAGTAAATATCGAATATTATCATCACCGGGTGTTTGGTCTAGTGGTATGATTCTCGCTTCGGGTGCGAGAGGTCCCGAGTTCGATTCTCGGAACACCCCGTTCCTTTTATTTTTTAAATCATTTGAAAGCAGTTAAAGGCTTTCTTTTTTGCGGTCAAACCCAGTAACATTGGGCTTTAAAACGACGCCGCTTTAACCCCTCTAGATTTCCAGGACCGACGTCGATTTTTTTCTCTTTCTTTCTGGAATCAATCGAGTAAAGTGTTCATAGCTGAGAAGAAAGAAAAAAAACCCTAAGCTCTCGTTTTTCGTCTTCTCCGATTCTGCAAGTATGAGTCGATCTGGTCAGCCTCCGGATCTCAAGAAGTAAGTTGTCTTCGCCACTTGTTTGATTTTCTCTGTATCCGTTTACTTGAAGTTTTTGGTTTCATCGAGCTTCTACTTCTTCGTGTTTCTGATTTTAGTCTTCGTTCGTTTCATGTGATGCAGGTACATGGACAAGAAACTCCAAAGTAAGTTCCATCTCTTTCTTCCACTTTTTCAATTTTAAAGCGTTTTTAAGTTTCACCTAAATCTCTTGCTCATGTGAGAATTGCTTACAACTTTTGAACCGATTGCTCAACTTAAGAGCGATATATAGTGCGATATTAATGCCATTTCAAGTCATGTAGTATTACTTGGGATTGCGTTATTCTGTCTACTAATTTAACTTGTGTTTACAATTCCAAAATATTGATACAATGCTTAGTATATTTCAATGTCACATAGAAATCTGCCAATTATGTATCATAGCACAGTCTCATTACAATTTGTTTAGTCAAAGTTTTTTGTAACTTGGTATGGTCATGAGAAGTTATTGTCTGCTTTTTTGGTTGCTCCCAATGTAGTTAAGCTTAATGCCAACCGAATGGTTGTTGGAACTCTCCGTGGGTTTGATCAGTTCATGAATCTTGTTGTGGATAACACTGTTGAAGTCAATGGTGATGACAAAACTGACATTGGGATGGTGGTACGTTTCTCTCTACCTCTCTTTTGAAACCCACAGAATCTTCTGCTGTGTTCATCTATCATTTTGTTTTGTTTAAAAATTCCACATTTCCTGGATGCAGGTTATAAGAGGTAACAGCATTGTCACCGTTGAAGCTCTCGAACCAGTTGGAAGATCTTAGCTTATGACTTTGCACCCTCAAGTAATCATCTTCTGTAATATGAGTTTGACTTAGTTTGCTCTCTGTACCGGCATGAATCGAACTTGAGTTTTATTTGATGAAATCCTCTTCTTTGGCTCATTTTACCCGTGTTCGGTCCTGCTTATGCTCTATTGATTTTTCTGAACCCTTGATTAGATGGCAACAAACCAATCTGGATACTGTCTTTCTGTTATGATCTCTTATCATGTGTTAGTCAGGTCTCTAAGTTCTATAATCATTTCAAGTTAGAGAAATCAAAGCAGTCATGAAAAAAAGCTAATTTTTGAATGGTCAAAACCTTTACACAAAGCAAAATACTTTTGTTGTGGGGATCTAAATTTTGGGTAAATGAGCTCCAACGGTCGTGTCTCTTGCTTTACTACTATCCTAACATTTTTATTTCCCACTTTTTCTCAAAGTGAGATCATAATTATGCCGTTTGGCTCGTATGTTATTATAAAGATGTTATATGAATAAGAAGAAGAAGCAAAAGAAAGAAAAAGAGAAGTGAAAGTGGAAGGCATCAAGGAAGCATGTGCCCCACGAAGTATTATTGTTTGTGATGCAAAATGAATGAAATGGTACAATATCTATCTATCTATCTCCAATAAAACAGCAACAACAACAACATGTAACCACAACGGAATGTTCGGCACGTGGGTCGTCGTCGGCACACACGTGGGGTGGTTTTGTTCCAACTTACATTTCATATCTACCACAAAAACTATTGAGTTGAAATACCTTTTTTGGTAGAAAAGTAGATATTTGTGTTTTTGTCTGGAATTTCTAAATTGTTTTTGTCCAAGTCATTATACAATTTGATGTGTTTTTTAACATTTCGTGGTCGGGGATCTCCAACTAATATAACAAAGTATAAGAATTTTAAACACATGGATTTACAACTAATCCAAAAAGAACTTTCACCAACTTCACTTATTTCCTTTTTCTTTTATTCTTTTAGCTTTAGTTTTGGGGAAGAGGCTATGGAGAGAGTCTCAGAGATTGCTTCTCTCTAAATTCTAACATTAAAAAATGATTCCATGAAAACGTAAACTATCTTCATATGTTTTTATTCTCGTTGACCATTGCAAGTAACTAAAAGATTCATTTTGGATGCAAGATATTCAATGAACTTCACCATCCATTTTTTATTTCTTCGAAAATTGATTATACAATATCAATCTCATTTTGTTTGTCACAATATCAAATCTCAATTGGAAAGTAAATGTAACAAGTCACATATAGTAGCGTGGATTAAAATTTGTGCTTACCTATTCCATCATTTCTGTTCCACTTTTTTTTTTCTTCTTAAAATGCCATATTTGTGATACTACTTCTAGGAACATTGGTTGTTATTAGGTTTACCAAGTACATGAGACTAGTCTTATTGTAGATAATCTTTTACTATTTTTTCTCAACTGATTTATTATGGATTTATGGTAGATTTCTTCTTCGTTTTTTCTAATGTGGTAAATTTATCCGGTAGGGAAATGATACTATAAGAGTTAGATAATAGTCCAAATTTGAGATATCTTATAAGATTTGATATTACACATAGAAACAAAAAGTTATTACATAATACAAATCTTGCAATGTTTCTTTTCTTCATAAAGAGAAAGACACCAAAAAAAAATATACTTAAAAAAAAAAAGACAGCTCGACCTTCATCTTCCTCGTTAATTCTTCCTCTTCTCTCACCTACCTCCACCAATCTCTCTCTGTTCTCTGTGAATAGAATACGAAGAAGAAGAAAGAAAGAAAGATCGATCGAAGAGTGATAATTACAAGCCACCAACTAAAATCCTTTCTTCAATTCAACTCTACGCGTCGCTTAGTAGTACCCAAAAGTTTTAATCTTTTTGAGTTTCCCCAACAGAAAATCATTAATTACCCATTACTAATCCATTTTTCTAGGTTTTCTCTTTTTCCCTGAAAATTTTTCCTTATTAAAGATTGATTCTTTATTGCCATATTGATTTTGACCTCTCCATCACTGTTTTGAGAGAGTACCCATCACTCCAAGATTTGATTTTTTTGGATTATCCTTTGAGAAAATGGCTAAAGTTCTTAAATCGAGCCAATCATGTCATTTCCCTTCACCTTCAAGCTCTTCTTCTTCTTCTTCTACATCATGTGGAGGCAATGATGGTGGTAATAGAGACCCACATTCTCCTTTTAACATTTCTCGTCGCGAGGAAGAAGAAGAGGAGGAGAGAAGCGAGAAAGAGAGAGAAAGATTTGAGCTTTCTTCTGCATTGGAGATTTTAGTTTCTGCTATTAGAAGGTCTGTGATTGGTGGGTGTGTTGGTGAAGAGGATCTTTGTTCAATGGAGATTGGTGTTCCCACAGATGTTAGACATGTCGCTCATGTCACCTTTGATCGTTTCCATGGCTTCCTTGGCTTGCCTGTTGAGTTTGAACCTGAAGTCCCAAGACGAGCTCCTAGTGCAAGGTTCGTTTATTAATCCCAAAATCAAGTTTTGCATAAAAAGATGATCGATTTTTCTGGTATTGTTTGGTGATTGCGGTTCTCGTAGTTCTTGTTCTAGTGAACAAAATCTTGAATAAGATTCAGTAGTTTCCATAATTGAAATCCTCTTCTGTTAATAGAACCAGGGTCTCTTTACCTGCAATTAGTGTATCCTCTGACATCAATTATCCAAACTTTTTGACGTTCTTGAATCTTTAGTGAGATAGATAGATTTATGACTTCTTGTGTGTATACATTTTATAGCTCTGCCTTCTATAATTAGAGTCCCTGACATCAATGATCCCAAACTTTTTATTTCATGTTCTTGAATCAAATTCTCATGTCTTCGATGAGTCTGGATGAAAAACGCTATTGTGTGGTTTAACTCTTTTGTTAGCTCAGAAGCTGATTAGACCTTGATTGTAATGCAGTGCTACCGTGTTTGGAGTCTCTACCGAGTCAATGCAGCTATCATATGATACTAGAGGGAACGTCGTGCCTACTATACTTTTGATGATGCAGAGTCACTTGTACAGTAGAGGCGGATTGCGGGTGCGTGTTAATCTCCATGTTTGAAACAATTTCCATCTGGTTTGATGAGTATGGGTAAATAAATTTTCATTTGCTTGGTTTGTTGCCATATAGGTAGAAGGAATTTTCAGGATTAATGGTGAGAATGCTCAAGAAGAGTACATAAGGGAAGAGTTGAATAAAGGTATTATACCTGATAACATCGATGTCCACTGCTTAGCAAGTCTCATTAAGGTAAAAACCCATAAACTCCACAAGGATCTTATTTTTTCTTTTCCCTGATTGTCTTTTACTTGTTTTTGAATTTGGTTTTTTCTTGGTTTTTCCTCTAGGCTTGGTTTAGGGAACTTCCTAGTGGCGTTTTGGATTCACTTTCACCAGAGCAAGTAATGGAGTCTGAGAGTGAAGATGAGTGTGTGGAACTTGTAAGGCTTCTCCCTTCAACAGAAGCTTCTTTGTTAGATTGGGCTATCAATCTAATGGCTGATGTTGTTGAGATGGAACAACTTAACAAGATGAATGCTCGAAACATTGCCATGGTTTTTGCACCTAACATGACTCAGGTAAGTTTCTTGTATGAATCTCTAAAGATAGTTTTATGTGTCGTTTTTGTTAAATGACATCAGTCAAATTGCAGATGTTGGATCCATTGACGGCTCTAATGTATGCTGTGCAAGTTATGAACTTTCTTAAAACACTTATTGTGAAGACGCTTAAAGACCGAAAAGAATCTCGAGATAAGTTGGTTCCAGCCTCAAATCCGAGTCCTCGGGACCATAATGGTGATCAGAGCAGCAGTAGACAGTTGTTGCATCTCATGAAAGCTAACAAGGGGGAAAGTTTAGACAACTTTGAGGCAGAGATGAAAGACAAAGAAGAGTCTGCAGATGAAGAAGAAGAAGAAGAAGAATGTGTGGAATCTCGAGAACTTGTTGACATAAAAAATTCTTCTCTGGTTAACAGCAACAATGGAGGTTTTGGACAGAAACACAATGGTTGGGAGGAGCAGAGAACCATGTCGAAAGCGAGTAGTATTGTGGGACGTGTGAACTACAGAGTTGAGCTATTCGAAGCTTGGCGGTGAAAGAAAGGTTAATTGTTGATGTTTTTGATCCATCTTTTGGATTTTCTTGATTCGGGTTTTGTGGGATGGATGGATAGATGCTTTTGAATTTTGATGATGGTTGCTTGTGTATCAAGAAATGCTACGTTTCTGCATATAATGTCAATGATAAGTGTCTGTTTCTCTTCTTAAGGTTTTATCTTGGTACTTGAAAGTTTTGCAGGAAATAACTCATTTACCAAATCGTTACGGATTTGGTTATTAACAAAAGATGTTGAAATCGAACAGAACAAAACACATTACAAATACAATCACACTTTTTTCCAATACTAGCACCACATTGAGTGGCAGATCTTGGAAGGAAACAAATGAACAGTAGTAAAAAAGAAAAAACATACGACAGAAGTTGATTATTTCTTAGTCAACGAAACGACAAGACTGAGAGTCGTTTTGTTCCTGCAGTTGGCATGCTGAGTCACATGGTGTGCATACTTATCGAACAAGGTATCGATAATGTCTTCTCCAAAATGAGCAACGAGCATTGGTTCACTAACAGCTCTTATACAATTGGCTTCATCGTGTCCTGCTTCATAGTCATCTTCTTCGTAGTTACTATGACCAAGATCGAATCCATGCGTCTCCAATTCATTGATTTCAAAAGAGCCCTCGTTTCGTATCACTTGTTTGAGTTCTTGTACGTTCGGATCATAAAACGGCATGTTGAATGCATCCAGCTTTGATTCACTCACAAGACCCTGTTTTATATGAAGATCGCGATGAGTACCATGTCTAAAACTCAACAAAATTTGGTATATGTTTAAGTAAAATATATCACAAAGAAATGAATAGTTTGATTTGATATACCTCGAAGAGTAGGTCGCGGAGAGATTTTGATAGCAATGTCCAAAAGTGACAACAATCTCTATACAATGGATCGTTCAGAGTGTTTCTCCCGATGAAGGTGAGAACCATACGTCCATTAGAGACAATTTCTTCAGAACGTAACCTTAGAAACATGGAGAAATCTTTTTGGAATTGATTCAAGTAAGCCTTGTATGCACTTTGAGGACTTGAACTTGTTATGTACACATTCCCCTTATTATTCTCAAGTTTTTCGGGAACCTTTAATCATCATGAGCACACAATATTACATCGTTTAAATCTCTCGATTGTTTCCATATGAGTAAAAGAAAATCTTAAGATTTATAAGTACCTTAGAGAGCCAATGGAGGGCATACGAGGAATGTATGATATGGAGGCTATTGCGGGAGAAGAGTCTGGAATAGAAGGAACCTGGAGCTCCATAGACGAAGCACGATGCTTTGCTTGTGATCATGAGCTCCTTGTTGAAGAATGGTACGAACTTGAAGGTCGTGTTGAAATCGTTTTCCGGGAGATCGTTCAGACAACAATCTATTTCTGGTGGGTTTTTGTTCACATGTTGGCACAACACACTAATGGTGTTGATGATCTCAGAGATAGCCAAAAACGTGTTTTGTCCCGAAGAACAACCCAATTCAGCAACTTTGATGTACGTAGGAAAGTCTAAGCTCATCATCATTTCTTCTGTGGTTTTTACCAAGACTGGTTTGGCCATTGTTAAAACTTTTCTCTAAAAACCAAATAAGAGACAGTACTACGTTAAACAAAAACTATTATTCTCTCCATAATCTGTTTATTATAGACGATCGATATTCATTAATAACTTGGAACTGTACGTCTTTTACGTTTTGGAATTGTCACAGACATATATAATCATGTATTAATTTCTTAGGATGAAGTTTTACAAATATGAGGCAGGACAACATATTTAGAGATAGAGGGAATCATAATCGAAATTGTTAGGCAGATTGAAAATGGCACTACATGTTATATCAGATTCCATTTACGACCCGTGACATATAAACCTAGACTGGACCCAGCTCCATACGATAACGACAAACAATACATGATTTTAATTCATTTTTATATCATAAGTGTTGATGCATATTCGGGCGTTTAAAATTCGACTTTTGTACATGTCTTATTTTTAATAAAAATTATAAGTGATCTAATCAAACCTTATACTTTTGTACATGTCTTATTTTTAATAAAACTTATAAGTGATCTAATCAAACCTTATAGTCCAATAGGAACTGTCATTTTTTTTTTTTTTAATCTTTTTGTTTGTTTGTTTGGCAAAACCGTCACTAACAATAACGCATATACCCGCTTTACTAAACTAAATTAAAATATACCCAACTACTCATGCATAATATTTGGATTTTTTACAATTCATATAAACGGACATAAATATGTTGTTCTTATATAGTAGATGTGAATTCATGTAATAATTTGATTTTTTTTGGTATGAATGTAATAATTTGATTTTAATTATTAGTTAGTTCATGTTTTAGATTTTACAATTTTATCATAACTAATTAAATGATTGAAAAATTTATTTGTATCCACAAATAATATCGATATAAATTTGGGTTAAAACTAAAAGGAAATTAAAAGAAGATTTTATATTGAAGAACCTGAAGACGAGAATTGGTGGAGTAACTGTTGGTTCCATCTCCACCACTCATACATAGAGCTTTCACAAATGCATATTCATCATCACACTTATCATCATTATAACTGCATCAAGATATACATATATTCTTTATCAAAAAAAAAAAAAGATATACATATATTGTTACATACATAGCTGCATGCATATATATATTTGAAAATACTAAAATCAAAGCAAAATGTGTGTGTGTGTTGCCTTAGTGAAGATGAATTGGAGAGAAGAACCTCAAGGAAGGAATGGTGTCGATGAATCTTGGATCCATTTTAAGTATCGTACTGATTTGGTGATAAGATTAAAGGAGAATTATCTGAAGATGTTGTGTATGGATGATGCACCACACACTGACACACATCTCAATTTATAGAGAGATGGGAATCAATCAAGGTCGCATAAAAAAAAATATGAAAAATGCCAAGTGTACTAGTTGCAAAGTCGTTTGCGCTTAATTAAGACCCAAAACAAAAAAAATATTGATTCTCAAATTGTGTTATACCTATATTATTTGGATAAAATTTATGGTATGTTATTGACTTTACGATTTGGATCTCAGAGCTGATCTTAACAAATGAAGAAGGCAAGAAATAAAATAACACGTTAAAGTGCTTATCCTTGTGAGAATTTCTTCCATTTTTAGCCGTTGCGGTTTTCATTAATATTAAAAATATGAAAACTATAAGAAAATAATTAATTTATCTCGCTTTTAAATAATGAAAAACGATGACAATAATTTAAATTAGGAATATCAATCCTAAAACAAATAAGCATATGTTTAAAATACTCGAAATACACTTTTAATGAACTTTCTTAATTAAAATGTGAAATTCTATAGATGTCAGATCCGAGACAAACAAAAAGAACAACATAAAAATGTTTTAACTTACGGGTCTATATATATATCACATATGTATGACCAAAAAATGACAAAAACAGAAAACACGATGATTTTATCATTGTGGGTGTTCATGTTGTAATGAAAAAGACAAAAAGGTAATCGAATAGAAAACCACTTGGTTCTAGGATATTCAGAATACTAGGACACATTTTATATAATATATGTCAAATAATTCTTGATTAAATATACATAAAACACGAATTTAAACAAACTATAATCTATAAACTGCCTAGTTGTGAACAGTTGCGTGTATCTTCCATTAATTAAAGACTTGAAAGTGACAATTAACTAAGTTTAGTCTCAAATAATAAGTGTGAACGGAGTTTGTGCTTAAGAATTTCTGCCTAGTCTTCGAAGATTCGTTTAAGCAAACCGTGTGAATTTTAAGATAATCTCTACTAGCAGCAACATAGAAGTTCTCTAAAAATTATATGTAGCATTAGATGTGCATGTGCTTATAAACCTCGAATCTTCTCTCCATAAACGAATACTGATGGTAATGCATGCATGCATGCATGTATCATGTATGGTGTTGAAACATGTGGACGATGCTTTGACCCACATGTAAAAGTTCCATGCCACGTAATTCTAATCAAGTGGAACACCAGAGTCTTTGTTTTTTCTTTTTTTTTTTTTTAAATCTTACTGGCTGATTTGGTCAGTCCCGATTAAATGCACTGAAGTGCTTCAAAGTAAAAAAAAATTCGAAGGGCCACCATACTGGCTGTTTTGAGTTTAGAATGTTTTCCAACTAATGCTAAGGGTAGCCAGATCGCCTGGACTACCATGTAAACTGCTTGGACTTTTGGTCCAAACCCAGACTTTTCACACAGATGTGTTTTTTGTTTTCAAAGTGGATCGAAACTGGGTTAGTTCCTTCAAATATTTTCTTAATTTCCAACTATCACTGGACCACACATGTGTAGTTGTTTTTTTTCTTAACAACCACATATTGATGTTTTTTAAAAGACTATTAGTTAGGTTGGTGATCCATTTCAGAACAAAAATATTTACATAAGAGAACTCAACAAATCTAGTTTTAGCTAGAAAAATTCAAATTTATTTACAAAAAATGCAAAAACAAAATTAACGGAATCATAAAAAGAAATCTGAATCATCTTAATCTAATATGCAGAGTTGGTCTCAAATATCTGAGTTTAATTTATCTCTGGTCGAAAAATTCTTTATTGTCCATATCAACAGTTCCATTCAGACAGACCATGTGTGGAACACAAAGTCTCATTTTCTTTCGTACTAACAGCTAATTTGTTGCGGGTCTAAGTCTAACTGATGGTACGTACGTCACCATTCATTTAAGCAAAGCATGATGACTCGATACGTTCAAATTTTCTCGTACAAAAAAAGATTCTTTTATAGTTTAGTACACGTTTTAAAAACCGGAAATATTGGATGGGTGGTCGTGGTCGGACCTCTTCAACAGGCCAAACTGGATTTACTAAATTTTCTAGATCAATCAAAAAGAAAAATAAATTTTTTAGAACTTTAAATGTGGAAAAAAGATTTTTAAGTAAAACAAAAACCAAAAAACATCTGAAAAACAAGTAAAAACATCATAATTTAATAATTTTCTTGAAACCTAAATTCTCATGTTTTTTTTCAGCCTCATTAATTAGCATGTTAAACCTACAATTTTTCATGAAACATAATTTCTTGAAACGTAATTCTCATAATAAAACCTAATTTTTATCATGAGAATTTCACTCTTTAAGTTAGAAATTGTTTTTTTTTTTTTGGGGCAAAAGTTAGAAATTGTTAACCTCATATTTTTTCGTTCCTACCTAGCTAATTGTAATTTGCGTTGATTATATTTATAAGCGAATAGAACTGGAACCGAACTACTTTCGGTTTAGTTCGGTTTGATCATTTTGGTTAAAGATAAGTTTCGATTTGGTTCGGTACGGTTCTGTTATATTACGTTATGACCCTGGTATCTTTCCCTCCGTCACCGGCGAGGCACTTCGCCGTCGTCGTGCAAGTGAATTATCTCTCTCTCTCTCTTCGCCTCGTCGATTTGGGTATCTTCTCTGAAATTCAGTTGATCACTTGTTCTCCAGATTCTAGATCAATTCTCCCGATTTCGATTTCGATTTCTGATATATGTTATTCTCTAACCTTGTTCCGTTTGGTTTGATTCGTAGTAGCGACGATTCCACTAGAAAAAAAAAAAAGACTTTGTTTGGAGCTGATGAGAATCAGTGTCATTTCGCAATTGCAGCGAAGCTTCTCAATGGAATTTCCATCACTCGTTTCTCTCAAACTTCCATCTCCAATGTATGTAGCTCATTGCGTTTGTTCAAAAAAAAAAAAAAAAAAAAAGGTCTTTTGTTGATTTCTTTGGTAATGGACATTCTTTTACATGTAGGGAGACTCATCTATGGTATATTCGACCAGATGAAGTGAAAATTCCATCTCTTTTAAAACACTACTCTCAACTTCTGTCACCATCTGAGATAGATAAAGTTTCTCAGCTTCGAGGCGATCAGCTTAAGAAGAATGCTTTGCTTGCTCGAACCTTGGTTCGGACCACCATTGCAAGATGTATGTTTTGCTTTGTTTCTTGAAGATTGATTAGCTTAGTGACCTGAACCTGGCCTTTGTAGAGGGAAGCTATTAGCAAGTCTCTCATGTTATGGCCAACAGTAGAACTCAATTACAAAGAAGACTTATATATTTTCAATCAGTGATATTGCATTACCTGAATTGGTGTTTACATGCAGACTGCTTTATAGAAATTCTAGATTTTAACTGGAGTTTTCAGAGCATTAATTGTAATGGTTTTATTACTAGATCAGACAAACAATGCAGTCGATCCTCGGTCCTTGATGTTTAAGAAGAATACCTATGGGAAGCCTGAGGTGAGACAGTTATTTGGGATTATACTAGACTAACTCATAGTCTCGGCTTAGGAGGAAAACTTCATTTGTTCTTGTTTAAGCTTTTACAGGTAGATTGGCAGAATTATAAGAACTGTAATATCCCACCATTGCATTTCAATATCTCCCACACAGATTCATTAATTGCCTGTGGGGTGACTGTACATGTTCCGGTAAGTCTTCTATTCAAGCAAATGCATACAGTTTTGTCCAAAATTAGTGGTTTCTGGTTTTAAATTTGAACAGTTGCAGTTTACTACGACTGTAGGTTGGTATCGATGTTGAAGACAAGGAAAGGAAGATTAAACATGACGTCTTAGCATTTGCAGAAAGATTCTACTCTGCTGATGAAGTGAAATTTTTGTCAACTATACCGGACCCTGAAAGTCAGCGAAAGGAGTTTATTAAGTTATGGACTCTAAAGGTAGTTTCTACTAACAACAGATTTTCTTAGATCCTGAAAATTGTTACTTATCAAAAGTTTAAAAACTGTTGTGATGATTCTTTATTCAGGAGGCATATGTGAAAGCATTAGGAAAAGGCTTTTCTGCTGCACCTTTTAATACCTTCACAATCCAATCTAAGGCTGGAACAAAAGGGGAATACAATCTTTGCAAGGTTTGTTTTATACTTGAATCACACTCTGGAACTGAAAAGCGTGTTTATAAAATGCAATTAGTTGTACACTTTCTGAAATTTTAGTATAGTGTATAAACAGACAGTAGTGGTAGATTTAGTAAGACTCTTGATTGTTTTCTCTAGACATCTGAAATGACTACCAGTTCACTGGAGAAGACAAACAATTGCAACGGAGAATGGAAGTTTTCCCTTTTGGAGTTGGCTGATTCTCATTATGCTGCAATCTGTATTGAAGATGATCAAGCTAGTGGAGGTGCAATTTCAATTCACATAGCTCTTGATACTGAAAAATCCATTTTATTCAGTAATTTCTTCATCACATCTTTTTCCTTCTTGCAGGAGCTCCTATGAGGGTGATTGTTCGAAAAACCATCCCGTTTGTAGAAGATGAACTTATTTCTGAAAGCATACTTCTTTAGGTAGTGTAGCCTTCAGATTTCTGTTGTTTTGAGTACATTGTGGTACATTCTGCGCAAGCGGAAAATAAAAATAGCCTATTATGGGACCATTAATCATGTATGTGAGACACTTGGAAGATCACCAGTAATCTTTGCACGAGCAGACCCCGTCTTTGAAATAGTGGAACCGAGATGCATCTCTTACAACAAACCGGCGATCTACAATCTTGCTAACCAGCTTGATAAACACATGACAATCTTCACAAACCCTCAAATTCTTTATCACGAGAATTTCTGTGCCTGGAATACTGTTGAGAATCCCAAAAGCTATTGCTAACCTCTCGCTATGCTCACGGGTAGTGCTCGAAACCTCTTCGCCTCTATCACAGTCCATGTTTCCCGCAAGCTCCATCACAGAAGTCTCTAACTCATCCAACATTCTGTGGACTTCCTCTGTTTGCTCATGACTTCTATCGCCAGCTAAAAACAAGTGAACTTTTCCCTTGTGTTCCACATAACTATACCCAGGCTTTTTCCTGA